GATTGCTTCGGCTATTGGGAGTCTTTAGTAGTTCTATATGAATTTTAGGAGTGTTTCATATTTCTGTTTTTTGTTGTTGTTTTACCTTGCACATTCAGCTCAAATGACATCTTTTTCTATTTCTGTGAAGAATATAATTGGTATTTTAATAGAGATTGGATTCAATCTGTAGATTGCTTTGGGTAATATGGGCATGTTAGCAATATTCATTACACCTCCCTCAGATTTAGGAAGTTGGGGAAACAGGCAGTCTCTTGAATAAAATGGTGTTGCAAAACCTGAATATCCATATGCAGAGAAATGAAACTAGACCCTTATTATTCATCGTATGTAAAAATCAACTCAAGATGGGTTTTTCCCTTCCAACCCATGAACATGGAATATTTTTCCATTTATTCGTGTCCTGTTTTTCTTTCTTTCATCAGCTTTTTAGTAACGATCTTTTGCTTCCTTGCTTAAATTTATTTCTAGGTATCTTACATTTTTGTAGCTATTGTAAGATTGCTTTCTTGATTTCTCTTTTAGATAGTTTGCTATGGGCATATAAAAACACTACTGAGTTTTGTATATTGATTTTTGTATCCTGCAGTTAACTAACAGGTTCATGCTTGTACTAGTTCAACTTCCTAGTTGTCCCCATTCCATATTTGTATCTCTACAGCAATGAAATCTGTTTCCCCAGCTTCCTAAATCTGAGGGAGTTGGACATGCTTCTTAGTCTTCAGCCTCTCTGTCTTTTTAGGGCTTTGAATCATCTGTGCCTTCTCAAGTGTTTGTTTTCATACCATTACCTTTTCTCAGATTTAGTGGAGCACTAATTTATAGGCACCCTCTTCTTGCCTTCACAAGCACTTCTTGGTTCAGCTGAACCAACTATCTCCATCGTCACTATGCCTTCAGTAATTTGTTGACAGCAGTTTAATGTGTTGCTTCCTCTTCTGTTTTTAATGTTCTTTTGAGTTTCTGTATTTTTATATTCATTAATTCTCATTTTAGTGGGGCTTGGGGGTGAATTACTGATAAATATAGTTAAGTATACCATATTTAGTTGACACATAATTTTTAAAAGCTGTCTTCTGCTTTTATTACCTCCATTTTCTAAATTAAACATCTCGTTGGGACTTGCTTTGCAATTATTATGGGACAGAAGCAGTTCACATTAGATTTTTAGCTAAGCCTTCCCTCAAAGATTTTTTATTTCATTCTTGTCTGTTACAGTGTTTAGAATTTACATTGTTTTATTTGCCAGTATTTCAGTAATAGTCTTTGAATTGCTTTACTGCACATTCAACCTTCACAACATATTGTAAAAACGGAAACCTATTGCCGAATCCTTGATCTTGTGATTGGCAATTAATGCCACCAGATGGCAAGCATGAGCTCGAGTCAGACCATTAGGAAACTTGAAGCAGGTGCTTTTTTCATTTTTTTTATTGCATTTTAGGTTTTGGGGTACATGTGAAGAACATGCAAGATAGTTGTATAGGTACACACGTGGCAGTGTAATTTGCTGCCTTCCATCCCTTCACCTGTATCTGTCATTTCTTCCCATGCTATCTCTCCCCAACTCCCCAGCTCCCGCTGTTTCTCCTCTATTCCCCCCAACAGACCCCAGTGTGTAGTGCTCCCCTCCCTGTGTCCATGTGTTCTCATTGTTCAATACCTGCCTATGAGCGAGAACATGCGGTGTTTGATTTTCTGTTGGTGCGTCAGTTTGCTGAGAATGATGGTTTCCAGGTTCATCCATGTCCCTACAAAGGACACAAACTCATTGTTTTTTATGGCCACATAGTATTCCATGGTGTATATGTGCCAATTTTCCCTGTCCAGTCTATCATCGATGGGCATTTGGGTTGATTCCAGGTCTTTGCTATTGTAAACAATGCTGCAGTGAACATTCGTGTGCATGTGTCCTTATAGTAGAACGATTTATAATCCTTTGGATACATACCCAGTAATGGGATTGCTGGGTCAAATGGAATTTCTACTTCTAGGTCCTTGAGGAATCACCACACTGTCTTCCACAATGGTTGAACTAATTTGCACTCCCACCAGCAGTGTAAAAGTGTTCCTATTTCTCCACATCCTCTCCAGCATCTGTTGTCTCCAGATTTTTTAGTGATCGCCATTCTAACTGGCGTGAGATGGTATCTCAGTGTAGTTTTGATTTGCATTTCTCTAATGACCAGTGATGATGAGCATTTTTTCGTATGTTTGTTGGCCTCATGTATGTCTTTTTTTGTAAAGTGTCTGTTCATATCCTTTGCCCACTTTTGAATGGGCTGGTTTTTTTCTTGTAAATCTGTTTTAGTTCTTTGTAAATTATGAACAGCCCTTTGTCAGATGGGTAAACTGCAAAAAATTTTTCCCATTCTGTTGGTTGCCAGTTCACTCTAATGACTGCTTCTTTTGCCGTGCTATAGTACCTAAATTTGAAACAGCCAGCTTTTGGAAAAGCTAGTAATGGTTGTATTACAGCAGAAAAAATCATAGGCTTTGGACTTGTGTATCAATCCTGCTTCTAATTGCTACTCTATGGCCTTAAACATAAGTTTCATAGTTTATTAGATCTTCCTTATCCTTAGAACTGGGATAATAACGTTTTTGTATGATCGCAGGGATTATATGAGACAATGTATGGAACACCCCTAGTCTAGTGACTGGCATTTAGTATTCAGTAAACATTAACTCACTCTCGGTCACCATGTTTTAGACACATAAACTCTTGAATAAGAACGGAAGTGGGAGCTCTAAGAATAGGAAGTAGTTAGAAATTCTATTTCTGGCTATAGTAACTAGCTGTGTAACCTTTGGGTGATCATTTAGTATTTGTGCACTTTTGGATGTATTTTAAATGGAAGGGAAAGACAGAATCAGTAGCTTTTTTCCCCAGTCATTAACTACACTTCTGTTCATTCTGAATCTGCCTGAAGAGAAGTGCCCTTGTTGTGATATGCTGTTAAACTTAAAACTTCTGCAGTCCTCTCTGTATCTAATACAGCTTTTTGTAAAAGTCTATTGTAAGTTCTTAGTACTGATAAACCGCACACCATCCCTATAAGGAAATTATTAATTTTATCTGTATTTTAAAGATGGAGAAACTGAGGCACAGATACATTGTTAATTCACTTGGGACACATAGCTTAAATGCCATTTCTTCTTCCTTTCTTTTCTTTCTGTCTGTCTTTTCTCTTTCCCTTTCCCTTTTCCCTTTCCGTTCCTCCTTTTCTTTTCCTCACTCTGTCGCCTAGGCTGGAGTGCAGTGGAGCGATCTTGGCTCACTGCAACCTCCACCTCCCGGGTTAAAGCGATTATTCTGCCACAGCCTCTCGAGTAGCTGGGAGTAACAGGTGCATGCCGCCACACCCAGCTAAATTTTGTTTTTTTTTTAAGTAGAGACGGGGTTTCACCATATTGGTCAGCTGTTCTCGAACTCTTGAACTTGTGATCCGCCCACCTCGGCCTCCCAAAGTGCTGGGAATACAGGCATGAGCCACTGTGCCTCGCACAATTCTTTCTTTCTTTTTTTATTTTAAAGAGAGGGCCTTACTCTGTGTCCCAGGATAGAGTACAGTGGGTTGATCCTAGCTTACTGTAACCTCAAACTCCTAGCCTCAAGTGAGGCTCCTGCCTAGGAGTAGCTAGGACCACAGGTGCATAACACCACACCTGGCTTGCTTTTTTTTTTTTTTTAAAGAGTCTCGCTCTATCGCCCAGGCTGCAGTGCAGTGGTGCAGTCTTTGCTCACTGCAACCTTTGCCTCCTGGGTTCAGGTGATTCCTCCACCCCCTGCTCTCCCTCCCCAGCCCTCCCACCCCCCAATAGGCCCCGGTGTGTGATGTTTCCCTCCCTATGTCCCTGTGTTCTCATTGTTCAACAACCACTTATGAGTGAGAACATGGCGGTCTTCACCATAATTTAAAAGAAATTTATGTTTTAATATTATGACAAAAGGACGAAAACTCTGATTGCTTTGAGGTGAATGAACATAGGCACTTATCCTTTTTTGATGTTTGCTTTTTAGGGTTCATTTTCTTGTTTCTTTCGGTGAAGCAAGCCAGTTAATATGTAGTGTCGGGATAAACAGTAAAGAGGTTGGAGGGAAGAGCTTATAATTTTTTTCTTGTTATTTTCAGTCAGAACTAATTTCTTTTGAAATGCAAAAGAACAGAAATCATAACAACCAGTCTCTCAGACCACAGTGCAATCAAATTAGAACTCAGGACTAAGAAACTCACACAAAACTGCACAACTACATGGAAAATGAGGAGTGATTTATTTCTAATTATGTGGTCAATTTTTAGAGTAAGCACAATGTGCTACTCAGAAGAATATATATTCTCTGGATTTAGGGTGGAGAGTTCTGTAGATGTCTATTAGGTCTGCTTGGTCCAGATGTGAGTTCAAGTCCTGGATATCCTTGTTAATTTTTTGTCTTATTGATTTGTCTAATATTGACAGTGGAGTGTTAAAGTCTCCCACTATTGTGTGGGAGTCTAAGTCTCTTTGTAGGTCATTAAGAACTTGCTTTATGTATCTGTGTGCTCTTGTGTTGGGTGCTTATATATTTAGGATAATTAGCTCTTCTTGTTGCATTGATCCCTTTACCATTATGCAATGCCCTTCTTTGTCTCTTTAGATCTTTGTTGACTTAAAGTCCATTTTATCAGAGACTAGGATTGCAACTCACACTTTTTTTTTTTGCTCTCCATTTGCTTGCCAAATCTTTCTCCATCCCTTTATTTTGAGTCTGTGTGTGTCTTTGCACCTGAGATGGGTCTCCTGAATACAGCACATCGATTAAAGAGCCCTGGTTCCCCACACTTTTTTTTTTTTAATCAATCCAGGTCTTGTTATGTCTTACGAAGTTTGAGCCTATATAGCCCGACTTGAGTGGATTGTTAATCCATATCAATATGGTCTTCAAGATATCAAAAGTTAAATATGCATGAACACATGAATTATGTTTTGTTTCACACTGTCTCTTTTTTGCCCTCCAGATAGCACAACGATAGAAAAATTAAGAGCTATTTGTTTAGACCATGCCAAACTTGGAGAAAGCAGCCTTAGTCCATCTCTTGACTCACTTTTCTTTGGTCCTTCAGCCTCACAAGTGCTATATCTAACAGAGGTTGGTTTTTATTCCCTTTTAAATTCTGTGTTTTTTTTTTTAATTTGACCTTTCATATGGTAATGTGAATAAATGGGTAAAATTGTAATGAAATATTTTTGAAATGAAATATTAATTTGAAATAATAGTGAGATGGTCAAGAATTTCTTGGCAGTGACAATAATATAAATAGAAGTAAGTTTTTAAAAAATCTTTTAATACAGCCCTCTCCCCATCTTCTCTGTTTCTCCAGGTAGTCTATGCCTTGTTAATGCCTGCTGGTGCACCTCTGACTGATGATTCCTCTGATTTTCAGTTTCACTTCTTGAAAAGTGGTGGCCTACCCCTTGTACTGAGTATGCTAACCAGAAATAACTTCCTACCAAATGCAGATATGGAAACTCGAAGGGGTGCCTACCTCAATGCTCTTAAAATAGCCAAGCTTTTGCTAACTGCCATTGGCTATGGTCATGTTCGAGCTGTGGCAGAAGCTTGTCAACCAGGTGTAGAAGGTGTGAATCCCATGATACCGGTAATACAGACTTTTTAAAAATCTTTTTATAATAGTAGATAGAAATTTTTTAAGTAAAACTAATTAGCATTTTAATTGTAGAGTTCAAGGTTGACTCAATGTTCAAAGTACCTTTCAGAGGTTTTCTTTATGATGTTTGTATTAAAAGTATAAATACTTTTCACTGACTGCTAATAATTTGAGAGGATAGTTTCTCCCTGCCCACTTAAATCTTGCTTGACTTTCAATTATTTTAAACCTAACAAAAATTCCATATGAATCTCATTAACTTGTGCCTGGCAGATATATAAAAACACAGATGGTATTAAGAAATGTAACTGATTTATCTTGTTGCTAGTTTCCGTTTCCACCTTGGGCTAAAACCCAAGTTCTGAGCTTATTCTGACTCTGTTTCTGCCTTGGTGGCATTCTTGATCCATGTCACTAAAAATTCCGAAGACATGCCTGAATGTGATACTTATTTTTGAGAGATCAAACTATGCATTTAATTCTAACTAAAATTTTATGAACATCATAAACAATGGTTTTACTAAGTTACTGATAGAAAGTAAAAGCTCTAGGAATAAAGATTTTCTTCTTTAGAAATGGTGGCTTAGGTTTCAGTTGGGGAGATCAGAATGTCGATAATTCTGGTAATATCATATATAGTTGTCTTAGCTTTGATAATACTGTGGTCATGTTTAAAAGGAAGGCCCCCCCCCCCATATTTTTGAAGTGATTGCTGAGATACTTCCAGGTTAGATTATATGATAACCAGGATTTGCTTAAAAACAGTCCTGGGGTGGAGAGATGATGAAAAGCAAGGGAGGATAGTTAGTTAAACAATTTGGTCCACTGGCGATAATTTCTGAAGCTAAGTAATATGTACATGGGAGTTAATTCTACTTTCAACACTTGGGTATGTGTTAGGAATTTTCCGTAAAAAGTGGCTTAAATTTTATATATTGTTTTGTATCACAGGTCCAATTTTTGTTAGGATTTTCTTTTTTAAGTAGTTTAAGTTAAAAGACAGCTTGTTGTTAGGATAAAAACGGAATTTTGTCATGATCCCTGACACAGATGCTTAATGAAGTACACAGAAAACAATTACATGGTTCCACTTTCACCTTTCTTCAATATTCAGAGAAGGTGCCACTGTGGTACAGAGGTACATAATAAGCTCTAATCTCAATGAGCTCACAGTAGGGAACCCAATGCAAAGTTAGTAATATGGAAATATCTTAATATTGTAGAAATATTTATAGTATATTGGAGGGGAATTACAACTTGAAGGCAGTCAGAATTGCCTTGCTAACAACTACTTAATGAAAGTAATCTGTTTCACTGATTTAACAACTTGATTATACTATTAAGTAAAAACTAGGGTACCTTTCATACATTAGTCCTCTTACTGCTTTTTCAGTATTCCTTAATTTTTCCCCTCCCTCCCTCCCTCTCCCTCCAACTTCTCTGGAGGAATTTTTCTCCCCCCCCAAAGCAAAATGTGATAACAATGGGGAATACAAATAGGGTCTGCCCAAGGCATGCACATAGAAGAGGTACAATAATTCACTGAGTCTCTAGAAGGGATTGGAACCAGTCTGTTGTGTATCATTATTCCCTGCAAGTTAAGGTGAGCCCAGATGTAGAGACACGAGTTGGATTGCTCTAAAATGGAGATTTCCACAGACACGTGGCACTACAGTGCACAAGAAAGAGAGAAAGCCCACCTTGTTGGTAGTGCTTTTTGTGTAAGTTGCCACAGGTTCTATAATGTGTATATGCAAGGAAGTCGTTCTGAGGGAGTGGGTGATGAATGAAGAGCAAATGGTTAGGTCTGGTTATGTACAAATTATTTACCCCAAATAAAATGGTTAACTTTTTTCAGGTCAACCAGGCTACCCATGATCAAGCAGTGGTGCTACAAAGTGCCCTTCAGAGCATTCCTAATCCATCATCCGAGTGCATGCTTAGAAATGTGTCAGTTCGTCTTGCTCAGCAGATATCTGATGAGGTTAGTTTTATCAAGACTTCTGTCACAATTTTCATTTTCCTAGGCCCACTTATTTTAATCACTGTCTCATTCTATAGATAATATCCTCTTAATATCGGTTTTGTCTACTATTAGTACTTTCTGTTTTTTTTAATCAACTTTATGTATAATAAACAGCATCCTTTTCAAGTATACAGATTCAGCGTTTTTTGTTGTTGTTTTTTTTTTTTGAGACGGAATTTCACTCTGTCATCCAGGCTGGAGTGCAGTGGCACCATCTCAGCTCACTGCAACCTCTGCCTCCCAGATTCAAGTGATTCTCCTGCCTCAGCCTCCTAAGTACAGCTCCCCTCCCCCCGCCCCACCCAGCTGATTTTTGCACTTTTAGTAGAGATGGAGTTTTGTGATGACCGGGCTGGTCTCGAACTCCTGACTTCAGGTGATCGCCTGCCTCAGCTTCCCAAAGTGCTGAGACTATGGGCATGAACCACCATGCCCGGGCCAGATTCAGTGAATTTTGACATATATGTGTGAAACCATTGCTGCAGTCAAAACCAAATATTTTCATCACTCTTTCTTTATGCCCCTTTGCAGTTATTCTTTCCCCAAATAATCACTGCTTTTTTTGTCCCTAGAGAGTATTTTTTGTCTTCTAGAATTTTATACAGATGGATTATAGTGTGTGTTCATGTCTGCCTTCTTTCACTAATGACCTTGAGAATTATCTATGTTGTGTGGATCAGTAGTTCTTTCTTTTTTATCGGTAACTAGTACCCTATTACGAATACTCCACATTTTGTTTATATACATGGTGTTGGACAGTTGGATCGTTTTCCCTTTTTGTGAATAAAACTGATGTGAACATTGTGTACAACTGTTTGTGTAGACATAAGTTTTCATTTTTGTTGGGTAAGAAACTGAGTGGAAGTGTTGTCATCTTTGTAGTCTTAAAGTTTACTAGTAAAGGGCCGGATAACTTGGGGAGCATACTTTGTTGTATTGCTGTTTAAAGTCGGGAGATGGGGAAGGGGAATAAGCCAGGTGCAGTGGCAGATGCCCGGAGTTCCATCTGCTTGGGAGCCTGAAGTTGGAGAATCTCTTGAGGCCAGGCATTCAAGGCTGTAGTGAGCTATGATCATACCACTGTAGTCTAGCCTGGGTGACAGAGCCAGAGCCCCCCCACCCCTTTTTCTTTTAAAGACAAAGGCAACTTGGGAATTTAAAGACAGTGGTACTACACAGTAATTCCTATTTCCTTTACAAGGTGAAGCATTTTTCTAATCATAATTTTACTCTCATATTCTATCAACCGTTCTATTTACTCATTATCTTTCAGGCTTCAAGATATATGCCTGATATTTGTGTAATTAGAGCTATACAAAAAATTATCTGGGCATCAGGATGTGGGTCATTACAGCTAGTATTTAGCCCAAATGAAGAAATCACTAAAATTTATGAGAAGGTAAGAATTACTACAGATCTATATTCCTTGCAAACAAATTTTTCTTAATTGTGCATATGCTTTGATTTTTATTAGGTTTGCTACTTTAATAAATCCAATAACTTGCATCTTAATGGTTGAAAAATAACTGATAGTTATATTGGGAATATGGTAAAATTTTATTTTGAAAAATAAGTACTTAATCCTTCCATGGGGCTGCTTTTTAAATGAAATTGCCTTTTTCATCTTTTTGTGGGGATCAGATAGAATTGTCTCATACTGAATTTGCTTTATCCCATTCTATTTTTTCTTTTATTATCTTTCCGTTCTGCGTAAATTTTGGTTTGTCAGTTATGGTATCAAGGCATTTAAGTGTTTTTATTTGATTCTCTTAAAGCAGTCAAAAATAAGAAGAGTGTTAGCCAGTTAGATACCATTCCTGACCTTCGACTAGATTAAGCAAATTATCTATAGAAGAGAAGCTGTGTTTGGCTTTTTGATTTATCATGTGTGCCTGCCCCTGATGCTACATATTTAGGAGGAGAAGTTGAGTTACAGGGACATCCCTGGCTTGGTAGAGCTTCCTTTATATGTCCAACATAACCCTGATTTTCCCAGGATATATGTTCATGTTCCGTAGTATCTGTCTGGCATAGCCCTGGGTATTCATTCAGCATGTAACTGAATGCCTATTGTGTTTTAGGCATGTACTATAGTTAATATTTTTTGATGAATAAAGTCAAGTTAGACTTTATTAATACCTCCCCAAGCATATTTTAGGTTGTAAGTCTTTGAAACCCTTCCTGAGTAGTTGTCAAGGACAATTGAATTTTAATAAAATGGCACAATAGGCAAGCTACACCTTGAAACTAGTCTAAAGTACCTAAGCGCCATGCCGCAGTGGTTCTTGAGAAAGGATTGGTTGTTGGTTCAGAAGTAAACAACTCAGAAAGTCTCAAAGAAATAGGTAGTGTACTCAGTGTGCTCCTTCAGCCCTCCTTGGGACATAGGAAAATAATGGAATTAGACTTTATTTTCTATTAAAGTCATTTCCAGACTATTCCAAGGGGACCTCAAGAGTTGCATGCAGCTTCAGAGGGGCTGAGGCCAGATGGTTTAAGTGAGTAGGTGAGTTTTAAGCACTAACCAGAAGTTGTATGAGATTTTTCTTAAATGCTTCTTTAGGTAATTTGTTCTTGATTATAATTTTACAGACCAATGCAGGCAATGAGCCAGACCTGGAAGATGAACAGGTTTGCTGTGAAGCATTGGAAGTGATGACCTTATGTTTTGCCTTGATTCCAACAGCCTTAGATGCTCTTAGTAAAGAAAAGGCTTGGCAGACATTCATCATTGACTTACTATTGCACTGTCACAGCAAGTAAGTATCTTTTTTAATTGTAAGAAACTTACTTTTTTATAAGTGGAGTGAATTAATTTTTGCTGGCAAAATGTATCCCAAAAGTCAAATATTTATTGTTTCTATAGCACATTGGTATTGAGGAAAATTTTATTACTTAACAGTGTTTTGCTTAACCTAAATTTGTTTGGTTTTAGTCTGTGCAAATGCCAATATTAATTGTCAAAGCATGATGTTTTCTAATTTTAGAATTTAGCTTTACCTAGGAGGTATATAGGTTAGCCTGTTTCTAAAAATCTAGTTTGCAAGATTTAAATGATATAGGACATTAGCCTCCTACCTTAGATTCCTAGATGCCAGATTTTTTTTAAGCCAAAATGAATTTGATGTAAAATTTCCAAGACGGGTCATTGTAAGAACTTTTGCAGTTTACACTGAGAATAAAGATCAGTATAAAGCTCTTGTTTTCATTTCAAGAGCATTTAATCAGTGACAGTAATTTTGGTTTGTGCTTCTTTTTGTGTTCATCAGTTAGATTTATGGAAAATGTTGGTTTCCATCCCCTTAAATCAATCTGATCCTGACCTTCGTATACAGTAACTTTATAAACTTGAGCTTTAATTAGTGTCACTATTATATGTAATTAATTTGTCTTCTCTATATTTTGTGAAAAGACACAGAAAATGTTTACTTTATCATTCCGTCACATGCCATTCAGTAATGACAAAATTCACTGATGAAAAGTTAATGTAAAGTCAAAATAAGCCATTTGTTGAAATAAAGTGTAGTGATAAGTAAAGTTTTAAAAATGTACATGCTGTCGCAGGTTAGTTCAACTTGCCCACTACAAAGGATGTGGAGTCTGGAGTGGGAATGTCACTTTAGAGTCTAAAGTGATTTAGTGGTTCTAAAGTGGGAATATCACCTATTTTAAGAAGTTCCTTCGGTAAGTTCTTTGAGGACATCCAGTCCAACCTATTCAGAAACTCCTTTAATAGGATCCCCACAAATGAGGTTGGGCATGCCACCTCCTTGAGAAGGTAGTTGTACACACTAGAAAAGATAAAGAGGTTCAGTAAGTCTAGTTCCATTTAGTGATGCATACATGTGGGAGTGGTGAGGATAGAAAAGATGATTAGCCAACAGTTTTAAATAAGTCAAACCTGGAGGCTAGAAGTTTCTTATTCTATATTGATTTTTTAAAAATCTTTAAATTAGGAACTTGTTTCACCTCTTAGTCTAATACGTATTAAGGAACTTGATTTAACAGATTTTTTTTGCCCTCTGCCCTTTATGAAAATTCCCCTTATATCAAACTCAGAACCATTTTTACCCTCTCTTCCCTGATAATTGCAAGTAGTGCGGTAAAGTACTGTAGGAAACATGTTACCTCATTATGTCACTGTTACATTGTCTGCAATAATACGGAGGGTGTTGTAAGGATCTTTTTGAGTTTTAGGTACCTGAATTTTATAAATATCTGAATGCCCATGTAGGTTCAAAATCCATTATTTCCCATTGGTAAGAATTTTCAGAAAGTCTAACTTGTACGTTAATTATTGGCATTAATATTTTAAAATCTGAATCCCCAGATTGTGTTAGGTGGCTCACGCTTGTAATCCCAGCACTTTGGGAGGCTGAGGTGGGTGGATCACTGAGGTCAGGAGTTCGAGACCACCCTGGCCAACATGGTAAAACCCCGTCTCTACTAAAAATAGAAAAAATTAGCTGGGCATTGTGGTGGGTGCCTGTAATCCCAGCTATTCGGGAGCCTGAGGTGAGACTCGTTTGAACCCGGGAGGCAGAGGTTGCAGTGAGCCAAGATGGTGCCATTGCACTCCATCCTGGACAATAAGAGTAAACTCCATCTAAAAAAGAAAAAAAAAAAAACAACTGAATCCTCAAATACATACTGGCCCCAGGGGTTTCAGAAAAGTGATTGTGAGCTGTGTACAAGTCTGCCCCTCAGATGGAGTTTATAATCCTATAGTCGTGGTTAAACATAGTTACTTACAAGATACTTCTCACTTAATCCCTATGGCAACTCAGAAGTAGACTTTGTTGATGGAGAGGCACAAGGGCTGTAGAAATTAAATGACTGACAAGGTCATATCATCACTAAATGCTAAAGCTAAGACTGAAGGTTTACTACCTCTTGAGTTCTGACATTTCTGCCACACAAATTTGGCTCTGGGTGTAATTACAATACACCAGCAAATACGTGAGTTCCTACCTATGTGCCTGGCAGTTAAAACCAAAGTCAAATAAGGCAGTTCTTGCACTCAAGGAACTTTGAGACAGAAATTGGTGTCATAAAAGGTAAAATACTTTGAGAATTGGGAGGGGAATAACTTACTTTCTACCTGGAAAGAACAAAAGTGAAGGTTTTCTGCAGAATGTAGCATGTGAGCTCATGTTTGGGGTAGAATTGATATGTGCATTGAAGTGGAAGATGGGCATTGCCAGTTTGCGCTCTCTCCCTCTCCCTTTCTTACTCCCAGTTATGTGGCTTTTACTTCATGTGTCTTTGGACTCCATATGCTTTCCTCCTCATGGTCTACCCTGACCTAAGCAATCTGGACACATTGCCTGGACAGTCGTAGTACCCTTATCTTTCCACCTGTAGTGTTGTACTCTTCTAATCTGTTGACTACATGGCAAGCAGAGTGATCTCTAGAAGATAGGATCTTCCTGCTTAAAATTTTCTTCCCATGTTTTCCCATTATCTTTTAATTAAGTCCCAGCATTTAAATTTGGCTTATAAGCACTGCATAATTTGGTCTCTGCCTGTACTTACTCAGAAGTTTCAACTTAAGTGTCACATATTCCAGTAACTTTTCCTTATCCATAAACTAGGAAAGGTTTCCTTGACCTCTCTGTTCCTACTAGATGGTCTGCTTCCTCATCATAACACTGACCTTACTTTATTGCAATTAGTTGCAGTGGATTTAAATTCTTTTAGATATGATATTGTTTTCTGCTGTTTCTACAGCCTGTTGCTTTATTCCCTGCCTAGTTAACTCATTTCTGTTACTTCTTTGACCCGTGAAAGCATTTGATTTTGCCACTCCTGGGATAGTGCTTTCAGAGCAGAGCTGAGTATTTAATATGTAGAAAAGGAGTCAAGGATATTACTGTATAGGAGGTTAGTGGGAGTTTGACAGAAGGCCTATGATACTAAGGTCTAAGCATTGTTTGATTTTAATGTGGTATAGGCAGTCTCGTGTATATGTTTGGTAAATATTGATCAAATACCTATTGTGTATAAGCCACTACCCACTAGGAATATGGCAAAATGGACAGAATCTTACCCTTCTAGGAGCTTATGTGCCAAAAGGAATAGGGGAAGAGAAGACATAAGAGAAGCATATCAGATATGAATAAGTGCTATGGTGATGAAGTCAAGCAGGAAAAGGGGCTGTGTAGTATGGAGGGCATAAGGAGAACATGAGTGGAGTTCAGTTTTTATATAGGGTGGTTGAAGACTTCACAAAGGTGATAGCTTTGTTTAGGGGTCAACTTTTATCATTACCTTTCAGAGCAAAGTAATAATCCATGTAGCTAATGGGAGTAGTGTATTTTAAGCAGAAAAAAACAACAGATGTATATGCCCAGGCGTGTCAGAAACATGCCTGACATGTGAAAGAACAGCAAGGAAATGAGTGGATGGAGCAGAGGAGGTTGGGGAGGGGGGACAGTTGTAGGGAGTAAAGTCAGAGAGGATAACAAACACCCTGTGAGGGTTTTTATAGTTCATTGTGAACACTGACTCTGACCCTAAATGAGATGGGAATCCTTCAGAGGATTTTTAGCACAGAAATAATGTGCTCCACCTTAACATTGTAAGTTTATTCTGGTTAAGAATAGTGCATAGGATAGGATAGCAGGAAAAGCAAGCTATTTTATGAATTCAAATAAAAGATGACAGTAGGCTGCATGCAGTGGCTTGTGGTTGTAATCCCAGCACTTTGGGAGGCCAAGACTGGAGGATCACTTAAGGCTAGGAGTTCGAGACCACGCTGGGCAACATAGTGGGACCTTATTTCTACAAAAAATTGAATGAGCGGGACATGGTGCACATGCCTGTAATCCCAGTTACTCAGGAGGCTAAGGTGGGTAGATCACCTGAGCCCAGGGAGGATGAAGCTACTGTGAGCAATGATCGTGCCACTGCCTGGGCAACAGAGCAAGACCCAGTCTCAAAATATATATATATATATATTTTTTAGCTGGATGTGGTAGCATGCACCTGTAGTCCTAACTACGCAGGAGGCTGAGATGGAAAGAATTCTTGAACCCAAGAGTTTGAGGTTACAATGAGCTAGGTTGTGCCACTGCACTCCAGCCTGGGTGACAGATGGAAACCCTGTCTAAAATAAAAGGGACTGACTGTTGTGAAGGTAGAGGCAACAGGATTTGCTGACAGAAATGTGTTTCTTTTGAAGCACTGTAGAAGCCTGCATTTTCTCAGGGAAGTTTTAATCAGGAATTAACAAGCATCAACTTTGTATTGCCTACCTCATCCCCACATTTGGGCTGTATACCTAACTTGTTGAAAAACGAGTAAACCAAAGCAGCGGGAGTAACATATACCTTTGAAACTCTGACAAAAGTTTTGGGCTTGCTTCCCAGAAAAGTAGTTACGCCTGACTTTGGTTTACTTGGGTTTCCCCCAAATTCTACCTCCAAAAATGTTAGGGTCTTCTGAATCCCTCTGATTTATAGGCCTATCGACTGTTCTTAGAAACCTAAGCTACCCTCTAGGGAGGGAGGTTAGTACACAGAATATATGCTGTCAGGTCCTTTATACTTGTAAATTAGGTTCTGAGTTCTCTAGTAACTAGCACAAAGACAGAAATGTAGTTATCTATGAAATACAGTTTGTGATGTCTTTAAGATATACACAAATGCTTAGCAGATACATGCTTGTTGAGCATCTTCCATATGTCAGGGATTGTTCTAATTGCTAGGACCTCTGGCATCAAGAAGAGTCCTACCCTGAAAGAGTTTACTTTGTAATGGAGAATAGACTACACATTTGATAACTGGCTCTTGAACTCCTCCTATATGCCAGGTAGTATTCTAGGTTCCAGAGGTGCAATGTTAACTAACTAGATTATGTCTCTGCCCTCTTGAAGCATTTTTTCTAGTGAGATCTATATAGTACATACACAGTTTTTAAAAAAGATAGATCCATGATTCCCAGTACTGGAACCATAGCAAGTTTTTCCCATGGCTCATCAGAGAGAAAATATGGTATTGTAATTGTCAGGGTTTTTTTTATTTTTTGAGATGGAGTCTTACTCTGTTGCCAGCCTGGAGTGCAGTGGCACGATTTCGGGTCACTGCAACTCCACTTCCCGGGTTCAAGTGATTCTCTTGCCTCAGCCTCCCAAGTAGCTGGGACTACAGGTGCGCACCACCACCCCCGGCTAATTTTCGTATTTTTAGTAGAGACAGATTTCACCATGTTGGTCAGGATGGTCTCAATCTCTTGACCTCGTGATCCACCCGCCTTGGCCTGTAATCCCAAAGTGGTGGGATTACAGGCATGAACCACCGTGCCAGGGCTGTGGTTCTCAGTCTTTAGTGCACATCAGATTCACTTGAAGAGTTTATATAAACACATTGCTAGGTCCCACCTTTAGTATTTCTGATTCAGGAGGTCTGCGTTAGTGCCTGAGAATTGGCATTTCTAATAAGTTCCCAGATAATGCTGATGTTGCTGCTCTGCGGACTGTGCTTTTAGAACTGCTAGAGTATGGTATAAGGCAGCACAGTCCCCAACCCTTTTGGTACCAGGGGCCAGTTGCATGGAAGACAGTTTTTCCATGGATTGTGGAGGTAATGAGGGGTAGTTTTGGGATTAAAGAATTCCACCTCAAATCATGAGAATTAGTTAGATTCTCATAAGGAGGACACAAGCTAGAACCCCTGCATGGTTCAGTAGGGTTTGTGCTCCTGTAGAATCTAATGCCACCGCTGATCTGACAGGAAGTGGAGCTTAGGCCATAATGCTCACTCGGCCCTCTGACCTGAGGGTTGGGGACCCCGGTAAAAGAGACATCTGCCATAATAACCTTACTGTGATTACTATAGAATTTCCACAGAGCTGTTGTGTAAAACCACAGTTTAATGAAAATTCTATGGAAGGCCAAAAAGATACATAAGGCTTACTGTAGAGCATTTTGTATATAGAGGAATATTTCTAGCCTCTTCCAAGAAAGAGGTGTTGGAAGGTGGTATCCTTCAAACTTAGTGTCAATTTGAGGTTATAGTCCTAGACATACAGCTTAAGCTCATCTGTTATGTGGTGTTGACTTGAGTGCTTGGTGTGTGTAGGTGGGATAATCCTGTATCCTTACTGTTAATTGTCTCCCTTTTATACTCCCCCCACCTGCCCTCCCCAAGACGGAACAATGTTACAGTTATTTATTTTTTTTTAATGAAAATAAAGTATTAAATGTGAAACATTTTTATTTCAGAACTGTTCGTCAGGTGGCACAGGAGCAGTTTTTTTTAATGTGCACCAGATGTTGCATGGGACACCGGCCTCTACTTTTCTTCATTACTCTACTCTTTACTGTTTTGGGGGTGAGACTTTTTAAAATATGCTTATCAATGTGATTCATTCTTTAAGCAAGAAACCTTCAGAAATTTGTGGTTTTAGCTTGCATTAAAGCTAGGACAGTCTATATTTAATAAATGAAATATTACTTAATTTCCCATACTGTTATAGTCATCTTCTCTAGTTAATTCTGGCTTTAAGAAATGGGGTTCTGAGCATAGACATGTAAATTGATATTATTCTACTTCATTTCCAGAGCACAGCAAGAGAGAGAGCTAAACATTCAGGCGACTATTTTACTCTTTTAAGACACCTTCTTAATTATGCTTACAACAGTAATATTAATGTACCCAATGCTGAAGTTCTTCTCAATAACGAAATTGATTGGCTAAAAAGAATTAGGGTAAGTTGCAGTTAATACTACATTTATATGTCAAGATTAGTAAATAGATTATTTTATTAATGATTTATATTTTTTGAGCATTTTGATTAAGTGGAAAATTCCGAAGATTGATAAAAGGGACTAAAGAAATGTACTCTGCATTGGTGGATGTTAGTAACCTGTGATTCACAAAATGAATACATATCTTGTTTTGTAAAATGGATTGCTTACTTGAGACTTGAAATATTGATGTTCAGCTTCTTTTATTTTAGCGTTTTGGGCCTTTTTGCAAATCCCCATCTTTTAAAAAAAGTATTCTTGAATTGTTTATGTCAAAAAATGAGTCTGATAGAGCAGAACTTTTGATCGTAACATCTGATACCCTTGATTTGGGCAGAATGATACAAGAATTTATTTCTGAAGAGATATGTAGTTTCTAGCCTTTAAAGTAGCATTTATTCTCGTAGTTCATAAAGCCTATTTCTAGAAAGTGCTGAAGAAAACAAACTTGCTTGAATGGAAAGACTTAAGGAAATTATATCATGTCCCTCCAGCTCTGTCTTGTTCTGGCTCCTCTCCCCCCACTTACCTCCCTTTCATGAGCTAGACATTTGATCTTTTTTCCCCCCTGTGGCAGGATGATGTTAAAAGAACAGGAGAGACGGGTATTGAAGAAACGATCTTAGAGGGCCACCTTGGAGTGACAAAGGAGTTACTGGCCTTTCAAACTTCTGAGAAAAAATTTCATATTGGTTGTGAAAAAGGAGGTGCTAATCTCATTAAAGTAAGTTCTGTGTTCTTGGCTGTTAGCTAGATATAACCTTCTAAATATTGATGATCAAATCTAAATAATTTATAGTACTATCATGTCTTTGTATTTTCTTGATCTTTTTTTTAATGAATCTTCATCAAATTTACAGTAATTTAAGAAATACAGTGGTGCCTTATTCAAGAGACATTTCTAAATTTGTATTTAAATAAGATTTTGTGGCTGGACATGCTGGCTCACACCTATAATCCCAGCACTTTGGGAGGCTGAGTATGGTAGATGGCTTGAGCCCAGGAGTTGAAGACCAGCCTGGGCAACATGGTGAAACCCCCTCTCTACCAAAAAAAAAAAAAAACCCAGGTGTGGTGGCACACACCCATGATCCCAGCTACTCGAGAGGCTGAGATGGAAGGATCACTTGAGCCCAGGAGGTGGAAGTTGCAATGAGTCGAGATTGCACCACTGCACTCCAACTTGAGCAACAGAGCAAGGCACTGTCTCAAAATAAATAGATAAATAAGATACTTCATAAAGTAATTGTTTAATTTTTCTCTTTGGAAAAACAATTCATTTTATTTAATGAGGCAAACCTGTTTTGTAAGAATGCATCTTATATATCTTTAGTGAGTTCATGTAATAACTCAAGGAAACAGTTCCATTTTTGTACATTTTGTTTCTATTAAAAATGGGTTTAATTTGCTATACATTTGGTTAAAGGAGCAAACCTATTTAAAATATAGATTTCGATAAGTACTAAATTCAGTTCTTAATATTTACAAATTAATCTGGGAGATTAGGTATGTTTATTAATGATGGTAAAATAGTGTTTTGAAGGAAGATCTTTTTATTAGAAAATCTAAGTGAGTTTTCTGAGATGTAATGAGATCTTAAATTCTAATGAGTAATTTTAAAATTACTTACAAGAGACTTTTTTCTAAAAATGTATAGCATTGCTCATATGTACTCTCTTTTTCAACTTTTTAGGAATTAATTGATGATTTCATATTTCCTGCATCCAACGTTTACCTACAGTATATGAGAAATGGAGAGCTCCCAGCCGAACAGGCTATTCCAGTCTGTGGTTCACCACCTACAATTAATGCTGGTTTTGAATTACTTGTAGCATTAGCTGTTGGCTGTGTGAGGAATCTCAAACAAATAGTAGATTCTTTGACTGAAATGTATTACATTGGCACAGCAATAACTAGTAAGTATTTTAAAATATAATGTGATAATTGATCATTCCAGTGTTTCACATTTCTGTTTTTCTTCTAGTTCCATCTTACATATTTCTTTCAGTAACTAGTTTAACATTTTTAGTGAATGAATGTATAATTAAGAACATTATAGGCCAGGTGCAGTGGCTCAGGCCTGTAATCCAAGCACATTGGGAGGCCAAGGTGGGTGGATCACCTGAGGCCAGGAGTTTGAGACCAGCTTGGCCAACATGGAGAAACCCCATCCCTACTGAAAATACAAAAATTAGCCAGGTGTTGTGGCATGCACCTGTAATCCTAGCTACTCAGGAGGCTGAGACAGGAGAATCACTTGAACCCAGGAGATGGAGGTTGCAGTGAGCTGAGGTGGCGCCACTGCTCTCCAGCCTGGACGACAGAGCAAGACTCCATCTCGGGGGGAAAAAAAAAAGAAAAAGAAATGAATAGTTAAGACCATTATAAGCAGACAACCTTAATATAGAAAAAAATTCAAACATTTGTTAAATGTCATCCTATACGTGGTATAGCCATTTGGCAAGATAAATTTCATCTCACAAAACCTGACATAAAATCTAAACTCCAGATTTAAAAATAGCCAAAATAAATGCCGTAGAGTAGTACAGACTTAAAACTTTATTTATTTATTTTTTGAGGCAGAGTTTTGCTCTTGTCACCCAGGCTGGAGTGCAATGGTCTGATCTTGGCTCACTGCAACCTCCACCTCTCAGGTTCAAGTGATTCTCCTGCCTCAGCCGCCCAAGTAGCTGGGATTACAGGCACCTGCCACCACACCCAGCTAATTTTTTGTTTTTTTAGTAGAGACAGGGTTTCACCATGTTGGCCAGGCTGGTCTTGAACTCCTGACCTCAGGTGATCCACCTGCCTCGGCCTCCCAAAGTGCTGGGATTCCAGGTGTGAGTCACCGCACCTGTCCCAGTCTTAAAACTTTAAATTGCAAGTATTGGAAAACCTTTCAGGTCCTCACTTAGAAGTTCCTTAACATTATTTTTAAGAGTTCAAAGAAAATCTGGCTTTGAAAATTAGAACATGAGAAGTTACCATTTTAGTGCACCTTATTTATGTTCTCATTTAAAGCCCACATCGAATAGACTGCAAATTTCAGACCTTACAGATAAGAAATTGAAGCTCAAAAGGGGCAAGGGCAATATAAAACATTAATAACAGAAAAAGCAGAAATAAGCATAATTGGTGCTGTTTCGTTTTAAGAGAAAATCACTGTTGAGAACACTTAAGAATATAACTGATGATAGTAAATTTTTAAGAACATGTCAAATTACTTCTTGATGTGTTTCAGAATGTTAGGAAGTTTTAAATAACATGTTGGGAATTTCTGAATAAATTGATTGCTTAAAAAGGTTAGATCTTTAGCTGTCCTATCAAATCTGTGTATTGTATTTTTTTTAACTTAATGGGGGTTAATATTATAATCACAGATTATATAGTACAATGTTCTTTGCATTGTTCTGTATCTGTCATTGTTCCCTGCCAACACATAAGTATTTACCTGATTCCATTTTTGGCTATGTACCTTTCAGTCAGCATTATGTAATTAACTAGTTCCCTAGACAATGATACTTAACTTGTTTCCAGGTTTATATTAGGTGGGAGGGAGATAGGAAGATGTACAGTGGTTTACAGTTATCACAAATTACTGTCTTCCTTGCTCCTCAAAATAGTATTATAGGCATAAGAAAGGCAAGTGTTACTTTTATTATTACGTTTACTAGGAAGAAACAGGTGGGGGGAAGAAAAGTTGATAAGCATCAGAACCAGGATATGAGCCCATGTGGTTTTAGGATTATTTAAAACTGAGAAAAGTAGGATGTTTTGATATATTAAGATAACATTTCGTTCCTTGGCAAATTTGAAGGCAAAAGTATGCAATATTAAGAACGTTAATCATGGCTAAAAAAATAAAGATGCAAGTAAAGTTAGCATGTAGACATTCAGGTTATACCATCTTGTACTTTTGAGACTGCTACAGAAACGACATCAGATAAAACACGGATTTGTGGGTGATTGGATAAGAAGCTGCACAATGGGTATATATTTTAGATTGTTTGAAGATGAAGCGCAAACTTAGAACACTGCTTCAGGTTGTGGCAGGGTTAGTGGAATTATGGGTAGTAGAATTATTGCCAGGGTTGCTTTGTCAGCATAATAGAGTTTAAAAGGACAAAATGGCTGTGTTCATGCTACAAGAATCTTTTCTTCTCTCAGCTTGTGAAGCACTTACTGAATGGGAATATCTGCCACCTGTTGGACCCCGCCCACCCAAAGGATTTGTGGGGCTGAAAAATGCCGGTGCTACTTGTTACATGAATTCTGTGATTCAGCAACTCTACATGATTCCTTCCATTAGGAACGGTATTCTTGCAATTGAAGGCACAGGTAGTGATGTAGATGATGATATGTCTGGGGATGAGAAGCAGGACAATGAGGTAAATTTGAGTTACCATTTCTGTTTTCTGTGTTTCAAGTCATGATATAAGATATTATTCTCTCTTAAGAGAACATTATATTTCATCAGACCTGTTAAAGTGTATTCGAAAGTAGGGATGGGCTGGACATACCTGTAGTCGTAGCTACTCAGGAGACGGATGCAGGACGATTGCTTGAGCCTGGAAGCCTGAGGCTGCAGTGAGTGATCATGCCACTGTACTCTAGCCTGGGTGACAGAGTGAGACCCTGTCTTAGGGAAAAAAAAAGTAAGTAGGGATGAACTTCGGCCAGCCAGCATGAACTGCTCCCTGTTAAGATAGTATAATGCTCACTACCTACCAGACTTTAAACTGCAGTTAATTTTTAGAATAGTTTGTACATTTTTAAAGGAACAGTTCACCAGTTGCAGCGGCTGACACCTGTAACCTCAGCACTTTGGGAGGCTGAGGCAGGTGGATCACCTGAGGTCAGGAGATCAAGACCAGCCTGGCCAACATAGTGAAACCCTGTGTCTACCAAAATTACAAAAATTAGCTGGGTATGGTGGCATGCACCTGTAGTCCCAGCTACTCGGGAGGCTGAGGCAGGAGAATTGCTTGAACCTGGAAGATGGAAGTTGCAGTGAGCCAAGATGGTACCACTGCACTCTAGCCTAGATCACAGAGTGAGACTTCGTCTCAAAAAAAAAAAAAAAAGCAACAGTTAATGTACTTATTATTTTGGTACATTTAGTATAATATGGAGTTTGTTTAATGGTAGGAACATTCATTTTTAATGAGTTTTAAATTTTTACTTTTCTATTTCAAAGTTTAAATTTTCTATTTTTATGCCAAGTTATACAGTATCTGCCAGTTTCACTTTCTGTGCTTGCTTTTAGGCTACTCTTTGAATTTCTGTTAGATCGTAACTATTCTCAATTAGAAAACAAACTTCCCCTACTTTCTAAATAGTTACATGGTCTTGTGGCAAAATTTAGGCTGCCCACTGAGTATCCAATGCAATATAAAGCAATGAGGAAGTTGAGTTGTAGTAGTGAATCAGAACTGACATAACTATGAAATCGCTCTTTAAAGAAGAGCATATGGCAAGAAGACTTAAGCTGTGGTCATATTTGTACTTACCTTATAATATTTCCTTGGTTTTATTTTAACTTTTCCTGTTTATAATGATGGCACTGAGGAGAGAAGCCAGAGTGTATTTTAATTATAGTAAATGGTTCTTTTCATTCCCTCCCTTCAGTTGCCAGAACTGATTTTGCTCTGAAGAAGTAGTTTATCAATTATGGCGCTTCTGTAACATCGACTTGCCTCAACTTTTCCCTAGACCGGCTGTCCCAGATGGTCTAGGGATTGGGGTCTGAGCATTTTTATTTTTTAAAAAAGCTTCGTATCTGCAGGAATTGGGTATAGAAAAAGAAAAAGGCTTTTAAAAAGCCTTTTTAAAAAGTGTCATAAATGACACTTACACCCATACCTGGTTAGAAATCACTGCTCTGAGGAAAAAAGTGTAATTCAAATTCCAGATCTGTAGCCCATCATATACCTGGAATGTTAAACACAGATAGATATAGGTAATTGTAGTAAAGAATTGAGTGAGACACACAAAATATAATACAATTTCAAATAAGTTGTCCCACCTTTACTCTCAGGCTATCCTCTGCTCTATGTTGTCTCGGCATCCCAGTGCACTGTGGCAGTTTTTGTGGGGTTTTTTGGGTTTTGGTTTTCTTTTTGGCTTATGTTTTTGTTTTCATCCCTAGACTATAAGTTTCTTATGGGCAGGGACTGGATGTTGTCTATTTCTATATCAGAGGTCTCAGATACGATTCAGAGAATATTGAAAGATATTCAGTTAAATGTAAAAACAAATTCTGTTCTGTAGCTGCAATATGATTATGACCTTTAGGAATTCTGTCTTCATGTTACATCTTCTACCACTACTCCTATTGTTTTTTAAATTGTGGTAAAATACATATAACATGAAACTTGCCCTGTTAACTGTTTTTAATGTACGTTTCAGTAATAAATACATTTACATTGTTGTACACCATCACCACCACCCATCTCCAAAACTCTTCATATTGCAAAACTGAAACTTGCCATTAAACTACTCCCCATTCCCCCTCCCCACAGCCTCTGGCAGCTACTATTTGTCTCTTATTGACTACTCTACAAACCTCATATAAGTGAAATCATATACTATTTGCCTTTTCATAGCTGGTTTTTTTTCATTTTAAAGTCTGAGTAATATTCCATTATATGTATATGCCACATTTTGCTTATCCATTCGTCAATGGACATTTGGGTTGCTTCCCCATTTGAGCTATTGTGAATAAGGCTGCCATGAACATGGATATACAAATATCTGTTTGAGACCCTTCTCACAGTATTTCTAGGTACATTCTCAGAAGTGGAAGTACTGGATATATGGTGATGCTTTTTTTATTATTTTTTTTATTATTTGAGACACACTCACTCTGTCACACAGGCTGGAGTGCAGTGGTGCAATCTGGGCTCACTGCAACCTCTACGTTTTTGGTTCAAGTGATTCTCCTGCCTCAGCCTACGGAGTAGCTGGGACTACAGGCTTGTACCACCACTTCCCACTAATTTTTGTATTTTTGTAGAGAGGGGGTTTCACCATGTTGGCCAGGCTGGTCTCAAACTCCTGACCTCAGGTGATCCACCTGCCTTGGCCTTTTCAAAGTGCTAAGATTATAGGTGTGAGCCACCTTACACAGCCAAATTTTTCGAGGAACTATTTTCTACAAGTGACTGCACCATTTTGCATTCCTACCAGCAGTGTACAAGAATTCCAGTTTCTCCACATCCTTGCCAACACTTGTTAATATTCGCTCTTTCTGGTAGTTGACACCCTAATTGAGTGTGAGGTGTAGTATCTCATCATGGTTTTGATTTGCATTTCCCAAACCGTTAATGATTTTTAGCCTCTTTTGCTGTGCTTATTATTGGCCACTTGTGCATCATCTTTGTCTATTTTTAAATGGAGTTGTATTTTTGAATTTTAAGAGTTCTCTCTATGTTCTAGATATTAACTCCTTATCAGATATGTGATTTGCAGATACTTTCTTTTGTTGTCTGTACCTCTAGTGTCATATCTAAGAAATCATTGCCAAATCCATTGTCTTGAAGCTTTTGCCCTATTTTTTTTTTAAGGATTCTGTGGTTTTAGCTTTTACATTTAGAATTTTGATTCATTTTGAGTTAATTTTTTCTATTTTTAGATGTATAGAGTTACTGTTGGGTTGCAGTTGTCTACAGTATGTAGTACAATAACATGCTGTAAAGGTTTACAACCTAGGAGCAATTAGGCTATACCATCTACGTTTTATTGATATACTCTACCATGTTCACATGACAAAATCACCTAATGATGCATTTCTCAGAGTTTATCCCTGTCATTAAGCAAAGAATGACTATGCTAATATTAATAGGTATATTTTATTGACAGATCTGAGCATGTTGTTATATACAACAGCTACGTGAAAAATAGGTTATCCCCATTCACACATAAAAAAACTTGAAGCTGGCCGGGCATGGTGACTCACGCCTGTAATCCCAGCACTTTGGGAGGCCGAGACGGGCAGATCACGAGGTCAGGAGTTCGAGACCAGCTTGACCAACATGGTGAAGTCTCTACTAAAAATAACAAAAATTAGCTGGGCATGGTGGCTCATGCCTGTAATCCCAGCTACTCAGGAAGCTGACGCAGGAGAATTGCCTGAACCTGGGAGGTGGAGGTTGCAGTGAGCCAAGATTATGCCAGCCTGGACAACAGAGTGAGACTTTGTCTTAAAAAAAAAATTGTTAAAAAATAAATAAATTTTTTAAAAAAAGAAACTTAAAGCTTAGAAAGTTTAAGTAATTTTTACTTGCTCAAAGTTACTTGGCTTATAAGTGGTAGAGCCTGCATTTGTGTCTGATTCAGTCTAAATTACTATGCTAACTCTATACTGTATTATCTTTCTTTCTTATACATGGTCATGGATATTTGGTTATGATAACTAATATGTGAAATGGTGGGGATAAACACTAAATACTAAAAATTTATAAAATTTAATTCCAATGCAAGACACCTGAAAAGAAAAAAAAATTTTTAAGTGCTTTGGAAATGAGCATAATAGGAATACAAATCATTTGTTCCCTAACTGCTTGGCACTTGTCTCATCATATTATACTCTACTTTAGCTCATTGGTGATATTTTTTGGTTTCTAGAGCAACGTCGATCCCAGGGATGATGTATTTGGATATCCTCAACAATTTGAAGATAAACCAGCATTAAGTAAAACTGAAGATAGAAAGGAGTACAACATTGGTGTCCTAAGGCACCTTCAGGTCATCTTTGGTCATTTAGCTGCTTCTCGACTGCAGTATTATGTGCCCAGAGGATTTTGGAAACAGTTCAGGTAAACTGGATGAATAGTAATACAGATACTTCCTAAAATGAACATCTCAGTACACTCACATAGAACCTCTAAAAGACATATTGGAAGGCATCTTTTTTTTAAGCACTGGTAATATTCAAACTGTCCTTAGTTGGGTGGGTTGTTATTTTGTTTTTCGTCATGGTAAGGAAGGGCAGCATCCTTTAGTCTCTTAATGATATTATTAACTTTTTATTAGGAAAATGTCTAATAAATACAGAAGTAGAAAAAATAGTATGGCCCCTTGTATACTTGTCACCCAACCTCAGTAGTAGTCAACTGGTGGCCAGCTTCATTTAATCTGTATTCCTATTACCTATTTCTTTTCTCTCTCTCTCTCTCTCTCTCTCTCTCTCTCTCTCTCTCTCTCTCTCTGTTTTTGTTGTTTTTTGTTTTTTGTTTTTTTGAGACAGTGTTGCACTCTTGTTGCCCAGACTGGAGCGCAATAATGGCATGATGTCAGCTCACTGCAACATCCACCTCCCAAGTTTAAGCAATTCTGCTGCCTCAGCCTCCCAAGTAACGGGGATTACAGGTGCCCACCACCACACCTGGCTCATTTTTTGTATTTTTAGGGGAGACAGGGTTTCACCATTCTGGCCCAGGCTGGTCTCGAACTCCTGGCCTCAGGTGATCCATCCACCTCAGCCTTCCAAAGTGTTGAGATAACAGATGTCAGCCACTGCGCCCGTCCCCTACCTATTTCTTTCTAGATTGTTGTGAAGCGAAACTTAGTTCCATCTACAGATACTTTAGTATGGGTCTGTAGTGTTTGTCTCAAAACATGACCATGATACCATTAAGTTTTTAAATTGCTTAATATCAAAATCTCTGTCAGTGTTTGAATTTACCGAGTTACCTCAAAATCGGTTTTTACTGATATTTTTAAAAATTAAGATTCAGTTGAGGTCCATTTACCACAAATGGTTGATAATGACTCTTGATTATTAATCTGTTTTTTCCTCTTTACAATTATGCGAGAATCAGGGGACAAATAGTTTACCCTGTAAATTTCCCCATAGTCTGAATCTTGTTGATGGAATCCCTGTGGTTTTTTATTATTTTCTGTTTTTCTTGGTCACCTGCATCTTCTATAAACACCTTGTAAGATCTAGAAGCTTGATAAGATTGAGGTATTATTTTTCTTGTTGTGGGATGGATAAGTAAAGCTGTTTCATAGGGGTTAATGTTGATCTCCATGAGGAGTGGCATATAATGTCTGTCTTATGATGTTAACCGCAATTGATTATCATTATTGTTTTTGTTGTTGTTGTTGTTGTTTCCTGAGGTGGAGTCTCACTCTGTTGCCCAGGCTGAAGTGCAGTGGCACAATCTCAGCTCACTGCAACCTCCACCTCCCAGGTTCAAGCAGTTCTCCTGAGTAGCTAGGATTACAGGCATGCACCACCATGCCCAGCTAGTTTTTGTATTTTTAGTAGAGACGGGCTTCACCATGTTGGCCAGGCTGCTCTTGAACTCCTGACCTCATGATCCACCTGCCTTAGCTTCTCACAGTGCTGGGATTAGAAGCTGAGCCACTGTACCTGGCCTTTTTTTTTTTTTTGGGAGACAGAGTCTTATTCTGTTGCCCAGGCTGAAGTGCAGTGGCTCAGTCTTGGCTCACTGCAACTTCCGCCTTCTGGGTTTAAGCAATTCTCCTGCCTTAGCATCCCAAGTAGCTGGGACTACAGGCACCCGCCACCACACCCCACTAATTTTTTGTATTTTTAATAGAGATGGGGTTTTACCACGTTGGCCAGGCTGGTCTTGAACTCAATGTCAAGTGATTGACCTGCCTTGGCCTCCCAAAGTGCTGGGATTACAGGAGTGAGCCACCTCACCCAGCTGATTATCATTGTCTTAATACAGGATTTTTTCAGGGTTACAAAATAATAATCAAATTAATTTTTTTTCATTTACTAGCTACAAAAGATCTATAAAGGGAAACTTGCCCTCACCAACTATTTTTTTAAGTTAGAAAACTCAATTACATTTTGATCTTGTTTTGACTTTTTTTTAATGTCAGTACTACGTCATGCACTGTGCTAAAATAACTACAGTACAACCACATAACTCTTACTGTGTATGAAAAGAGCTATAATTCTTTATAGCAGTGAGGTTTGGTTTCATTTGGTTTGTAGGTAATCTTCCTTAGAATCCCTTCAAGGTGCTTCCCGGCCAGCTGAGAGGAGGAGGAAACAAAGGGTCACCTGACACTGATACTCTAGTATGCTTTCCCTCTTTCTGACAGAGCAGTATAAATTCCTTTTCCTCCCCTAACTAGGCCCTCTACTTTGTACTAGTGGCTTGTGTGGACCACCCTCCCACCCAGCTCTCATTTTGCTTTTAGTCCCATCATCTAGCATAATACTCTGCTTCCTCTCTGACTATTCCAGCTCTGTCTTCTTTCTCTAGGTTATGCCATCTCTGCCTTAAGGCTTTTAGCATTTCTGTTGATGCTCTTCCAAATTGAAGAGCACAAACAGTCTTACACTGGTGGGATGGTGGTGTTGTTTTGAGACAGTCTCCCTCTGTCACCCAGGCTAAAGTGCAGTGGCGTGATCTCGGCTCACAGTAACTTCTGCCTCCTGTGTTCAGGCAATTCTCCTGTCTCAGCCTCCCAAATAGCTGAGATTACAGGCGCCTGCCACCATGCCTGGCTAATTTTTGTATTTTTAATAGAAATGGGGTCTCACCATATTGGTCAGGCTGGTCTTGAACTCCTGACTTGAGGTGATCCACCCGCCTCAGCTCCCAAAATGCTGGGCTTACAGTTGTGGGCCACCACGTCCAGCCAAGGCTTATACTCTTTAAACTTTTGTCTTAATTTGTCATTCAGTTATAATTCTTTCACTTGTAATGCCTTTGCTTTTTGACTTTTCAATTAGTTACTCCCTGTGCTAGTGGAGCTTGGTTTGTATAGACGAGCACTTTGGATTATCCACACTTTAGACACATAATCTACTCTTGATACATGTGGGTTAGTTAACTACACTTCCTCACCTCACTTTTTTTTTTTTTTTTCCAAAAAATTTCAAACCTACAGTAAAGGTGAAGAAGAGGTATAATTATCACCTTTATATTATATCTTTACACAGTTGTACTAGTTAACATTTTGTTGGCATATTTGCTTATCTTACCATATGTATACTTGGTTTTTGATTTATTTTAAATTGATAGTAAGTTGCAAACATGACACTTTACCCCTTCATACTTCAGCATGTATCTTAGATCATATATTACCCGGGCACAGTGTCTCACGCCTGTAATCCCAGCACTTTGGGAGGCTGAGGTGGGCGGATCACATCATCAAGAGATTGAGACCATCCTGGCCAACATGGTGAAACCTCATTTCTACTAAAAAATACAAAAAATTAGCTGGGCCTGGTGGTATGCGCCTGTAGTCCCAGCTATTTGGGAGACTGAGGCAGGAGGTTCGCTTGAACCCAGGAGATGGAGGTTGCAATGAGCCGAGATCGTGCCACTGCACTTCCGTCTGGCAACAGAGCGAGACTCTATCTCAAAAAAAAAAAAAAAAAAAAAAAAGATTATATATCAGAACAAGGCAATTTTCCTACCTATGTATAATGCAATTATATCCAAGTAATATAATATCAATTTTTAATCTCTAATATTCATCAGTATATATTCTGATTTCCCAAAAATGGTCTGTATAACTTATCTTTCTACCCCAATCTGATACTCATGAAGGAATCACAAGAATTTAGCTGTTACCTCTTATTTTATTTTATTTTATTTATTTATTTACTTCTGAGGCAAAGTCTCACTCTGTCGCTCACATAGTCTCCCAGGCGGGAGTGCTATGTTGTGATCTCAGCTCCCTGCAACCTTCGCCTCCTGGGTTCAAGCAATTCTCCAGCCTCAGCCTCCCGAGTAGCTGGGATTACAGGCACCGGCCACTATGCCCAGCTAATTTTTGTATTTTAATAGATATGATGTTTCACCATGTTGGCCAGGCTGCTCTTGAACTCCTTACCTCAGGTGATCTGCCCGCCTTGTATCTAAAGCGCTGGGATTGCAGGCATGAGCCACCGCACCGGGCATGGCTGTTACCTCTTTAGTCACCTTTTATGTAAAATAATCTCCCTAACTTGTCACTTGTATAGCACTGAAATTTTTAGAGAGTCCAGGCCAGTTGTGTTGCACAATGTCTTTTTATTTGTGTGATTGTTTCCTCATGATTAGCTTCATGTTAAATGTTGAGGGAGTGTGGGCAATGAAACTACATAAGTGATGTTATGTGTTTCTCACTGCACTGTATTGGGAAGCATGTGTTATCCACTTAATTATTAAGCAATAATTAATTTTGATTTCTTGGTGTCTTAACAGATCTCTCCATTATAAAGGGTACCTTTCCCTTTTGAAATTAGTAAGTTGATTATATGTTTGAAAGTTTGAGGAGTTGAGTATGGTTTCAAAGTAAATAGAATGGACTGGTACAATTTCCAATAATGAAACAAGCTGATTTTTAACAAATAATATATTTGATTTTCAACTTACTGTATATAAATTCTTGTCTAAAATATAATAAAGATGAGATTATTTGCTACATAGAAGAGGTTTTACAAAACTATCAAAAGACAGTTCTGTCATACTTAAAAATGTTTGTCATTTCTTGCTTAGAACAAATACACTTAAATTCTCTACGTGCATTATTCTGTATACAAAATCAGGTATTATTGATAGTTTCCAGCAGTGCCTGGGTTTTAGCAGTATCAGTTCTCATTTTGTGATCTGTAGTGATGGTGTGTTTTCTTAGATTATTCAAGATTAACTCTAGAACAAGTTAAACTTTTCTCTCTTCTCTTGGGAAAGAAATAAATTTAAGAGTAACTAGATCGGATATTTTTACTATCTATAATCCAAAATTTAAGCAAAATGAAATAAATAAAATAGTAATTGTAACATCCACATAAGAGTGAGATCCACCACCTCATCTTAGTAGTATTTTTAATTGTATTCAAAATGGCATGCAAGTGCCATGTCACCTGAAGCAACCATCCTTGGAGCCATGCTACCCATGAATTACACCACTGGTTTCATGGCAGTTCTTTGCTGCTGGAGTACAAGTTTTACTATGAGGCTCACTCTCTTACCCCACTACACTCTATAGGGAAAGCACATTCATTTTTTTCTCCTTTTCCATGTAGTTGAGGAATGAAATCTCAGTTTTATATACTGTTGTTTGTGGTGCTGTTGCTTTTTTTTCCCCCCGAAAAATAAAGTTGTACATATTGTTCTGTGAATGTCACATGTTACATGTTTTATTTCATTCATTTCTTAGGCTTTGGGGTGAGCCTGTTAATCTGCGTGAACAACACGATGCTTTAGAATTTTTTAATTCATTGGTGGATAGTTTAGATGAAGCTTTAAAAGCTTTAGGACATCCAGCTATGCTAAGTAAAGTCTTAGGAGGTTCCTTTGCTGATCAGAAGATCTGCCAAGGCTGCCCGCATAGGTACGTACTATAATTACACATTGAAAGTATATGTTGTACCATGTATGTACTAACAAAATTTTTGCTAGTACTTAACATACAAAAGTGGAGTATGTCACTGATTATTAAATACCTGAAACTGAATGATTTATATACTGTGCATATTACCTTACTGCTGTGGGGCTGTTTTGTTTTTGTTTTTGTTTTTGTCAAATAACTTTTAGCTCCTTCTACTCTACCTGATCTCTTAGCCATTTTATTAAATTATACTCTTATAGTCCCTCCCTCCCTCTCTTCCTTCGCTTCCTTCATTTTCTTCGCTTTTCTTTCCTTCTTGAGACAAGGTTTCTGTTTGTTGTGCACACGCTGGAGTGCAGTGGCATGATGGCAACTCATAGTAACTTTGAACTTCTGGGCTCAAGCAATCCTACTCCCTCATCCTTTCAAGTAACTGGGACTACAGGCATGTGCCACCACTCCTGGCTAATTTTTAATTATTTTAGCGATGGGATCTTGCTATGTTGCCCAAGCTGGTCTCAAAACTCCTGACTTCAAAATCAGTCCTCACACCTCAGCCTCCCAAAGTGTTGAGATGACAGGCATGAGCCACCACACCCAGCCTCCTCTTACATTCTTTTACAGATGATTATTCCTGGGGAAATAAAATGGCATTTTGCATATAGCTACAGGTGTTACTTATAAATTTGCCCTTTATCTTAGAACTCGAGTGATTATAATAGTGTAAATACAGTAAGTTTAGAAGATGACAAAGCTGTGGTAGTATTTTCTATACAAATGAAATAATGACTTTTAAAATAGCATTGATTATTGTCATTATCTTTAAGGTATATTTGTACACGAAACATTTATATCCGAGTTGACAAAACTTAATTGTAAAAAATTTTTTACAAGAAAAAGATTGACAAAACAAATTGTTCGACTTGAAAAGAAAATCAATTAAGGGCTTCTATTAGTTCATTACTGATAAACACACATGCCTGTCATATGGAAGTTTTACTTTGGGACTTGTCTTGTTATATTACAAATTAATGTTGATTTGCAATCGTTTTTCACCAAAATGTCACAGTAAGATAGTATTTTCTACAATCCAAACTGTATTAAATATAGTCATGGGTTGAGTATACATGTGGTTTGTTGGGAGTATTTTGTTTTTGATTACCAGGAAATGATTGTGGGAGAGGTAATACTATATAAACGAGAAATTTCTGTCTATCAAGTTATAGTCTTACCACTCATTCATAATTAGGGCATATACTTATTTACTTAGCCTAGGCAACTTTTAGTCCTTTTGAAAGGCCTTTTATATTAGGTGAACAATAAAACAAAATTTTAACCTCTTGGTTTGTTTGTGAGATGGAGTCTTGCTCTTTCACCAGGCTGGAGTGCAGTGGCATGATCTCAGCTCATTGCAACCTCCGCCTCCTGGGTTCAAGCGAACCTCCTGCCTCAGCCTCCCAAGTAGCTGGGACTACAGGCGTGCACCACCAGGCCCAGCTAATTTTTTTATTTTTTAGTAGAGATGAGATTTTATCATATTGGCCAGGGTGGTCTCAATCTCTTGACCATGTGATCTGCCCACCTTAGCCTCCCAAAGTGCTGGGATTACAGGCGTGAGCCTCCGTGCCCTGCCCTCTTGTATTTAATTATTGATAAAAACAGCCAACTTTGGAGTCATTTGTTCCTGTCAGTGCTCCTTAGTTTTAGGTAATTTTCTAAATTATTTCAAAATCACTGTTTCTTTTTGGCAAGTGAAATGTCAAAAGATTATGGTCTTGAAATCAGATCCCTAATACCTGATCAACAACTAAACTAGTCTTGTTTTTTTAAGTAGCTGGGCATGGTGGTGGACACCTAAAGTCCTAGCTGCTTGGGAGGCTGAGACAGGAGGATCGCTTGAGCCCAGGAGTTACAAGTTACAGTGAACTATGATCATGCCAGTGCATTCCAGCCTGGGTGACAGAGTGAGACCTCACCTTGTTAAAAACAAAAAAGAAAAAAAACTCTACTTTGAGTGCCCATGCAACCATTCTGTTTTTCACTTTCAGTACAGTATTCAATGAATTACATGAGATAGTTGCATGAAGCTTTGTGTTGCAATATTTTGCCCAACTATAGGCTAATATAAGTGTTGTGAACACATTTAGGGTAGGCTAAGCTAGGCTAAAGCTATGATGATTGTTAAGTTAGGTGTATTAAATGCATTTTCAGCTTATAGCATTTTCAACTTATGATGGGTTTATTGGGATGTAGCCATTTCATAAGCAAAGAGCATCTGTAGTTGCTGCAGAGACCATATGCCTCTCAAAACCTAAGATGGGTGCTGTCCGGCCCTTTACAGAAAGATTTTGCTGACCTCTAGTGTTAGAACACCTTCTTTTTATAGATGTTGAAGAATATCCTGCTTTTGAAGTGTAGTCTAAGATCTAACGTCTTTTTTTTTTCTATGGGCTGTTCCCTGATTATATAGTAGCAATTTGCTTAATACCTGCTTTATATTCCATTCATACCATTCATAAATGCCTTTTTGTATCTATCTTTTTTCCTGAGTTTAAAATTCCTTAAATGAGGGACCATCTTAAACATTGAATATCTCATGGTGCTTTTACACATGGAAGGCACTCTCAGTTCATTTATTGAATGAATTAATGGTTGATAATGTATTCCTTACTTCCCTTATTTTTCATATATGCATGTCTCTCATCAGAAGCCGGAAGTTAATGGTTGATAATGTATTCCTTACTTGCCTTGTTTTGCATATATGCATGTGTCTCATCATTTTTCGGTTTCTGATGAGACACATGCATATATGCAAAACTGGGATTGTAGCTCCTACTCAGATTGCTTATCTTCTACTCATGGTGTGTTCAAACTTGTGCTTAACTAAGGTTTCCATTACAGCAAAGGAAGAACATTTAAAAATTTAGCTTTTTCATAGTTGATCCTTTTCAGAATTTAATAAATTCATGCTTTGGCTTCGGCATGAAAATATCTAAACAGATAACACTGGAAGCAGCAGCGTGGTATACCACAAAGAGATTAAGCTGTGAGCCCAGACAGATTCAACTTTAAAATACCGTTTCACTTAATGATTAGGTTAACTTTTTTATTGCTAACATTCTATGATTTATGGGTTTCATATTCTGAAAATGGCAAATGTAGTTTTCATTACATCCATAACTAAATAAATGGTTAGAAAACTAAGGGATAAATTCTTTTTTTATTGCTTTTAGGTACGAATGTGAAGAATCTTTTACAACTCTAAACGTAGACATTAGAAATCACCAAAATCTTCTTGATTCTTTGGAACAGTATGTCAAAGGAGATTTACTAGAAGGTGCAAATGCATATCATTGTGAAAAATGCAATAAAAAGGTATGGGCTGTCCAGTTTTGTTTAATGTAATTTTGATTACATTTGATGAATTTGGAAGAAATTAGTTTTTTTTGGTTCATCCTTAAAATTCACCCTCTTTTTACTTTTTCTACCTTGGTATAGTGGTAGCAGAGTAGTAGTCAATGTGATAACTGATATATAGGTTTGGCAGGGAAGGAAAAACAGTAGTGCCAAAGGGGCTAGGTAAATAAGATAAAAATAGGTAAATAAGGGCTGGTCACTGTGGTTCACGCCTGTAATCCCAGCACTTTGGGAGGCCGAGGCAGGTGGATCCACGAGGTCAGGAGTTTGAGACCAGCCTGACCAACATGGTGAAACCCCATCTCTTTAAAAAAAAAAAAAAAAAAAAAAAAAAAAGGGTAAATAAGAGTGAATAATTTTAAAAGTCATAGTAATGTGATAGCATATTTTCTTATATAAGTTACACAGAAATTTCCCATCTCTACCAAGAAACACATTGCCATTGAACCCCTCAAAGATACAGAGCTGATAGAGGAAAACAGTTCTCTTGTCATGTCCAGGGTTACTTGTCAAGGCCAAAATATTTGCTAAAACCATTAATTACTTTATTGAACCACATAATATTTCTTTTAGTCAGGTGCCACATAAGATTTCTTTTACCACCTATGTTATAAAACCATTTATTTTGGTCGGGCGCCGTCGCTCACGCCTATAATCCCAGCACTTTGGGAGGCCGAGGCGGGTGGATCATGAGGTCAAGAGATCGAGACCATCCTGGTCAACAAGGTGAAACCCTGTCTCTACTAAAAATAAAAAAAAACTAGTTGGGCATGGTGGCGTGCGCCTGTAGTCCCAGCTACTCGGGAGGCTGAGGTAGGAGAATTGCTTGAACTCAGGAGGCGGAGGTTGCAGTAAGCCGAGATCGCGCCATTGCACTCCAGCCTAGGTAACAAGCGCAAAACTCCATCTCAAAAAAAAAAACAACACATTTATTTTGGAAACTTATTAGCAGTTGTTTGGGAGAGATGATTTATACGCATTATAATAATGAATAAGGTGTATCTTGAGGGCTCCCAAACCCTTTCACCTTGAAGTCACTTGTGGTGTTTTGGCTTTATGCAGCCCACTTAGAGAAGCCTTAAAGTTTAAAGATTGAGACTGTGGGCTGGAAAGCGATACTGCCTACCACCTGCAGCTCCTGAGACGTGAGGCAAGTTACTTGACCTCTCTGTGATTACTAATTTTCATCTTTAAGGTTCAGTAGTATGCACTAGAGAAGGTTGTAAGAATTAGTTATGTTTCTACTTATACAGCACTTAGTATATTACCTGACATCTTAATTGCCTAACAAATAACAGCTATTACTATTTGTAGTTCTTTGGTTTGTGCATAGCAAACCACCTTCATGGGAGCAACAGCATCAAACAGGTAATAATGGCTAGATAACAATGTCGTGCAGAAACCAGTCAACAAAGTTTCATTTGCATATTATTAGTTTTAGCATTTACATCAGCTGGTAAGATTATCTTGATTATGTTCATTTTCATGTATTTGTTTACACTTAAAAATTAAGTCTTAAGAATTCAGCATCATTTAAAAGTTTGCTTGGGTTTTTGTTTTTTTGTTTTGTTCTGTTTTTGTTTTTCCTGTGGTTTATAATAGAACATGTGGTGACTTTCTCTTATTTATTTTAGGTTGATACCGTAAAGCGCTTGCTGATTAAAAAATTACCTCCTGTTCTTGCTATTCAACTAAAACGATTTGACTATGACTGGGAAAGAGAATGTGCAATCAAGTTCAATGATTATTTTGAATTTCCTCGAGAGCTGGACATGGAACCTTACACAGTTGCAGGTGTCGCAAAGCTGGAAGGAGATAATGTAAACCCAGAGAGTCAGTTGATACAACAGAGTGAGCAGTCTGAAAGTGAGACAGCAGGAAGCACAAAATACAGACTTGTGGGTGTGCTTGTACACAGTGGTCAAGCGAGTGGGGGGCATTATTATTCTTACATCATCCAAAGGAATGGTGGAGATGGTGAGAGAAATCGCTGGTATAAATTTGATGATGGTGATGTAACAGAATGTAAAATGGATGATGATGAGGAAATGAAAAACCAGTGTTTTGGTGGAGAGTACATGGGAGAAGTGTTTGATCACATGATGAAGCGTATGTCATACAGGCGCCAGAAAAGGTGGTGGAATGCTTATATACTTTTTTATGAACGAATGGACACAATGGACCAAGATGATGAGTTGATAAGATACATATCAGAGCTTGCTGTCACCACCAGACCTCATCAGATTGTTATGCCGTCAGCCATTGAGAGAAGTGTACGGAAACAGAATGTACAATTCATGCATAACCGAATGCAGTACAGTTTGGAGTATTTTCAGTTTATGAAAAAACTGCTTACATGTAATGGCGTTTACTTAAACCCCCCTCCCGGTAAGTATCAAGAGTTTAGCTTCTTAGTAATAAAGAATAATTTCTAGTAGGCATCAACATGTTTAAGTTCGTAAAATGAATGTTTTCACTTTAAATGGGTCTAAATTAAAGTAGCCTGAGAAGGGTTCTTAACAAATTTAGGACTTCTCAAAATTAATGGAAATGCCGAATTGTTTGAAAATGGGGTTGGAAAATAGAAATTTATTTCTATATCTGCATTTTATTTATAGGGCAAGATCACCTGTTACCTGAAGCAGAAGAAATCACTATGATCAGTATTCAACTTGCTGCTAGGTTCCTCTTTACTACAGGATTTCACACAAAGAAAGTAGTCCGTGGCTCTGCCAGTGATTGGTACATTGCTTTGGATTTTGATTTCTATTATACTAATACTTAGTTTGGTTCTTTAGTAGGCTGCTCAATTTTTTTCTAAACCATGAGAATCTTGTTTGAAGTTTGGAATACAGAATAAAAATAACTCTTGGCCGCAATAGTGAGAGGAATCATATTAAAATAGTCGAAAACTGGCCTTTTGTTATTCAGAAGCTGACTTCTGCTTCTATTCCTTATCGTATCTTTGACCTCTCTGTACCAAAGATTACAAGATGAGTCTGGGCACAGTGACCTGTAATCCCATCACTTTGCGAGGCCAAGGTGGGAGGATTGCTTCAGCTCAGCAGCTCAGCAAGACCAGCCTAGGCAACATAGTGAGAGCCCCATCTCTTCAAAGAAGATTTTAAAAATTACCGGAGTATGGTTGTGCATGCCCACATGTAATCTCAGCTACTTTGGAAGGCTAAGGTGGGAGGATCACTGGAGCCTGGGAGGTTGAGGCTGCAGTGAGCGGTGACTGTGCCACTGCACTCCAGCTTGGGCAGCAGAGCAAGACTCTGTCTCAAACAAAACCAAAGATTACATGATGAAACTGAAAAACGTAAGCTACTTATGAAATTTATTAATTCTTGGAATAAAAGTTCTAAAAAGAAAAACTAAAAAAAAAAAAGAAATGTATTAGGTTTCAGCTTACCTAGATTGAATTCTGACACAGATTAAAATGGTTTTCTTGTATCTAATTGTGAAAGTATAGAGGCCATGATATGTCAAGATAAGGGAACGGGGTGATGTTTTGTTGTTGAACGTAGGAAGAGTTTGTTAATTGATTTTTAGAGGACAAGCTTTCTCTCAGTGTTACCTCTGAGAGAGGTAACAGAGTTACCTGTTTTGTAACTCAGAGAATAGACCAAGTCATAGTATTTATCCATTGTTTTAATAGTAGAAGCAACCTTTACTGGTTCTCTCCCTAGCAGTAAAGGAAGATCTTTGTCTTTTTTTGGTTCATAGAGACTCATCCTTTTACTATGGGAAACAAGTTATTTAATTAATAGTCATAGATATTTTTGTTTTATTTTAGGTATGATGCGTTGTGTATTCTCCTTCGTCACAGCAAGAATGTACGTTTTTGGTTTGCTCATAATGTCCTTTTTAATGTTTCAAATCGCTTCTCCGAATACCTTTTGGAGTGCCCTAGTGCAGAAGTGAGGGGTGCATTTGCAAAACTTATAGTCTTTATTGCACATTTTTCCTTGCAAGATGGGCCATGTCCTTCACCTTTTGCATCTCCTGGACCTTCTAGTCAGGTAATTGCACAGCTTTCTTTCTAAATGATTAAATGTTTACAAATAAATTGTGTTTCCTGGAAGTTGAAGTCACAGACATATGCATCTACTTGATATGTTTACCTGCCTAACAAATACACGCTCAATCTGACATCAGTGAGTTCCATTTAGAATTACTGCATAGCAATGAAGAGTAATTGTTGGCTCTTTAAAAACATAAGAGAATTTTCCCTGTTTAGTTACATACAGTAGCTTAATTATAAATTTACTGTTATGTAGATTTTTTTCTACTTTAAAGGTTTTTTAAATAGCCTTAGATTTTTTTTAAAATTACAAATGTGAAGAATTTATAATGAAATCCACCTCTGATCTCCATTCCCTTTCCCAAGAAGCAAAATAGTTTAGTTTGTGTGATCAGTCCTTCCACAAATGTATGCCTGTATCACCATATGTGCATATCCTTTTTATGCAAATAGAAGTATACGTATACCTTGTTGCTGTAAAACAGGTAATGTTTTATCCTTTACAGGCTTATGACAACTTAAGCTTGAGTGATCACTTACTAAGAGCAGTACTAAATCTCTTGAGAAGGGAAGTTTCAGAGCATGGGCGTCATTTACAGCAGTATTTCAACCTGTTTGTAATGTATGCCAATTTAGGTAAGAATTTAAGTTTTTCAGAATTCTGTTTTGATGTGTCATATTAAATTGTGAAGTCACTTAGGTCAAGTGATGAAATATAATCTGATCTGAAATAGAAACAATTTCCCATAAAAGTTGTTGTGAATTTCATCTGAACATGGCACTTTCACCTTTTACTTTAATTATGCATGTGTCTTTGTAGTAGACACAGGTCAGAATCTGTATCTTGATTTTTTTTTTCTTTTTAATCTCCTAATGCAATGGTGCCAAATCTGGCTGCTTATTGAAAATACAGTTTTTAGGCCTCTTCTCACACTGATTCAATCAGCATTCCCAAACCTAATGCCAGGGAATCCATTTTCAAAGGGGTCCCCAGGTGATTATGATACTCACCAAATTTAGATAGAAGACTTAGTCTGTACATGTTTTTTGTTGAAGTAAATTATGATTATGGATAATATAAATACTTACTTAAAACATTAATTTAGGTAGGGACTGGGTGCAATGGCTTATGCCTGTACTCTCAACACTTTGGGAAGCCAAGGCAGGAGGATTGCTTGAGCCCAGGAGTTCAAGACCAAACTAGGCACTATAGGGAGACCCTATCTTTACAAAATAAAATGTAAAAATTAGTTGGGTGTCAGTAGGCGGAGGTTGCAGTGAGCCGAGATTGCGCCACTGCACTCCAGGGCTTGAGTGACAAACCAAAACTCCATCTAAAAAAAAGTTGTGTGTGGTGACATATGCCTGTAGTCCTAGCTACTTGGGAGGCTGAGGTGGGAGGATCACTTGAGCTAAGGCGGTCGAGACTGCAGTGAGCCGTGATTGTACCACTGCACTCCAGCCTGAGCAACAGAATGAGACCCTGTCTCCAAAAAGCAAAAGCAAACAAACCAAAAAGCTGTATATCCAAAATGAAGTTCTATATCTAAGCATTCCTGTCATTTCAGGTTATTTTCTGTGACCTTACTTAATCACCATTGGATCCATGGTTCTTTTAACATAAGGGAGATTCTACTTTTCATTTGTCTCCTTAGTTTGTCTTCTTTTCCTTTACCTTTTCCATACTGCAAATATTTGGGTATTTGTAGATGAGAAAGAAGAGGATATTTATTACACAGACAAGCATAAATGGAATCTGTATTTCAAACTTAAAAATGCAAAATTTAGACCTTCAGAAAAATCCCATGTGTTCAGCTCTTCTTTTAGATATTGCCTGTTCACAAAGCACAAGTCATTGTTCCACAATGTAAACTACTGTAAAATTTTCCTGAAACAAATACTGAAAACAAATACTGTAGGGTCTGTAAACCTTAATATTAAATCCTTAAGGTCAGATATGTATTGGGATTGAGAATTGTTTGGATTTAAGAAAGGCAAGGCAATGCATATATCAACATCCCTATAGTAGGGTCTGAGACAACAACTTAAAATTGAACACATTAATATTTCTACAGTAAGACGTGAATATTTATAGCAAAGGGAGAAATGAAGACTGTAAGTAGCCTTTTGTCAGTTCTGGCTAGGTTATCCCGCCAAACACATTTTGACACCAACTTAGTGAAAAACTTTGTTGGCCTGGGCGCGGTGTAATCCTAGCGCTTTGGGAGGCTGAGGTGGGTGGGTCACAAGGTCAGGAGTTTGAGACCAGCCTGGCCAACATGGTGAAACAGCGTTTCTACTAAAAATATAAAAATTAGCCGGCTGTGGTGGCATGTGCCAGTAGTTCCAGTACTCAGGAGGCTGAAGCAGGAGAATTGCTTGAACCTGGGAGGCTGAGGTTGCAGTGAGCTGAGATCATGCCACTGTACTTCAACCTGTGCAACAGAGGGAGACTCCATCTCAAAAAAAAAAAAAAAAAAAAAAATAGCTTTGGGCATCTTAGGATTTTAGATAAGAGGTTTTGGACCTGTTTTTACTATGTTTCTGGGAATATGGCAGTAAATGAGACTGCCTGATGGGATGTAGAAGCAAATAAAAATGTAGTTGCCATAAAATAAGTTAATGACTATAATAGGGAAAATGCAAAGTACATCATGGGGGTGTGGTACCTGAAGGGATTTGGGAAGTACAGAAGACTTAATGGGGAACATGATGTGGGAATTGGTTAGTTGAGCTTTTCATCTAGAGTGAACAGCAGATGCAAAGACTTAGGATAAACTTGCTGTGGCTTATTGGATGGAATGAAAGTTGTCTAGTCTGACTAGAATTGATGTAAGATGGGAATGGCAGGAGTGTTGAGCAGGAGTTTCTGATCATGTGGTTCCAACAGGCCTGAGGCACTGGATGAGCCATCGTAGAGTTTTGAACAGATTATTCCATCTAGAAAATGCACCGTAGCTAATGTGGAATGGATTGCAATGGAGTAAGATCCCAGAGAGTGTTAAAATGATCTGTAGACATAAGATCATTGTGGCCTTTATTGGAACTGGCAGTAAGGGAGATACAAGTGGACAGATAGATAAATGTTGTGCTTTTTACAAGAAGTGGAATTAGTTAATTTGGTGATTGGATATTCACAGAAGGAAGGGACAGAGAAGAGATATGAAGAATGATGCCCAGGATTCTAACTTGAACAACTGTGAATGGATAGTGGAAAGGGGAAACACAGGAGGAGAAACATGTATGTATGGAAAGAAAGGGGTGAGTTCAGTTTGGATAGATTGAGTTTGAGCCTATCTGACACCCAAATGGCGTTACACAGTAGAACAGTAAGATTTTTGTCTTGAAATGTTTTTGAGTGATCTGAATGAAAATACCTAGAACTTTAAAGCCATGAGAGTGGGCTAGACCATCCAGGGAAATCGGTGTGAAAAGATAGCCTGGCACGGGAACTTGGAGAAACATCAGTTTTTAAAGAGACAGGAGGAGTCGCAAATAAGAACAAGAAGAGGTAGAAAGAAAATTAGGAATCTAGGGAGGAGGAAATGGTTATGGTTTGAGAACTGCTCCTTAGCTTATTACCGTGAAGAGGGGCCAAAACCAAATCTACATAGGTTGAGGAATAGAAAATGGGAAAGTAGACCAAATGTAGGTATCTTTTTCAAGAAGTTTGGCTGTGGAGGAAAGAAGAGAGGTGGCAACTTTAAAAAGAATTCTTGTTTCTCATTTCATATAGTTGTTTTATTGTTTTCACCCTCCCTACAAATGAGGGTTGCAGTCTTGATTAGTCCCTTTAGACTCTCTAGGCCATAGAAAGTGTTCATCTTCCAGCTGGGCGCAGTGGCTCATGCCTGTAATCTCAGCACTTTGGGAGGTAGAAGCAGATGGATCATGAGGTCAAGAGATTAAGATCATCCTGGCCAACATGGTGAAATCCCATCTCTACTAAAAATACAAAAATTAGCTGGGTGTGATGTCACATGCCTATAGTCCCAGCTACTTGGGAGCCTGAGGCAAGAGAATCGCTTGTACTCGGGGGCAGTGAACTGAGATCACACCACTGCACTCTAGCCTGGTAACACAGGGAGACTCCATCTCAAAAAGAAGAAAGAAATTGTTCATCTAACTTAATAGTGGGCCGTTGTGATTGAAATGTCATAGTCATGGTTACTGTCACTGTTTAACAGTGTTAATACTTATACTCAATGGGTTTTCTTTTCTAATAAAACAGTTCTCTGAACACTAAGTAAACGTAGTGAAATTACAAATAAAATTACAAATCAAAAATTTTTCTGATCATAAAATTATAGACAATATATTTTGTATAACTACTTGTTTTATTCATGAAGCCATTGCCATCTTAATTTTTTCCTCATATATTTCTCCCTCTCTTTCTTCTCCCCCTCACTCCTTTGTTGTAGGTGTGGCAGAGAAGACACAGCTTCTGAAATTGAGTGTACCTGCTACCTTTATGCTTGTGTCTTTAGATGAAGGTCCAGGTCCTCCAATCAAATATCAGTATGCTGAATTAGGCAAATTATACTCAGTAGTGTCACAGCTGATCCGCTGTTGCAATGTCTCTTCAAGAATGCAGTCTTCAATCAATGGTAAATTTGAATGCTCCATTCTTTATGGTGCTTTTGTTTTTTGTTTTGTTTGTTTTTGAGACGGAGTTTCATTCTTGTTGCCTAGCTGGAGTGCTTGATTTCGGCTCACTGCAACCTCCGCCTCCCAGTTCAGGCCATTCTCCTGCCTCAGCCTCCCAAGTAGTTGGGATTACAGGCACCCACCACCACACCTGGCTAATTTTGTATTTTTAATAGAGACGGGGTCTCGCCATGTTCGTCAGGCTGGCCTCCAACACCTGACCTCAGGTGACCCGCCCGTCTCAGCCTCCCAAAGTGTTGGGGTTACAGGTGTGAGCCACCATGCCCAGCCCTCTTTACAGTAGTTTTTAAATGTTGTTGGGCGTATATAGTATTGAGAGTCTGGAGGAAGATTTCTGCTTTGGAATATTTTAGTCCTGTACCTTTTCTACACGTTTAATGGGAATCTTTTTTCTGTCTTCTTGTCACTTGAGGTTGATACCATGTTTATGAAATAGTTTAAGAATTAACTATTTAGGGCAGGTGCGGTGGCTCACACCTGTAATCCCAGCACTTTGGGAGGCTGAGGTGGGCGGATTGCCTGAGATCAGGAGTTTGAAACCAGCCTGGTCTACATGGTGAAACACTGTCTCTACTAAAAATGCAAAAATTAGCTAGGCGTGGTAGTGGGCGCCTGTAATCCCAACTGCTCGGGAGGCTGAGGTACCAGATTTGTTTGAACCTCGGGGGCGGAGGTTTCAGTGAGCCGAGATTGCACCACTGCACTCCAGCCTGGGTGACAGAGTGAGACAATGTCTCAAAAAAATAAAAAATTAAAAAAATAACTTTTTAGGCTGGGATCAGTGGCTCATGCCTGTAATCCCTATGCTTTGCGGGAGGCCAAGGCAGGAGGATCACTTGAGCCCAAGAGGTTGAGCCTGGGCAACAGTGAGACTTCATCTCTACTGAAAATTAACAACAGAAAAGTTCGCTGGGAGTGGTGGCATGCGCCTGTAGTCCCAGCTACTCAGGAGAACGAAGTGGGAGAATCACTTCAGCCTAGGAGATCAAGGCTGCAGTGAGCTATGGTGACACCACTGCACTTCAGCCTGGGTGACAGAGTGAGACCAAGTGTCCAAAAAAATTTTTTTTTTTAATTTAGAGTTGGCATTTTTACATCTCAATATATCTGATCATTATAATGCATAATGTTACTTTCTTATTGTGCTTGGGAAACTTGATTTAAAATGTTATTTTTCTAAAATAAAACATTTGGCTAGGTGTGGTGGGTCACGTGTGGTGGTGCGCACCTGTAGTCCCAGCTATTTGGAAGGCTAAGGCCCGAGAATTGCTTGAACTCAGGAGGCCAGATTTGCAGTGAGCTGAGATCGCACCACTGCACTCCAGCCTGGGTGACAGAGCAAGACTCCATCTTTAAAAAAAAAAAAGCATAAGCTATTTTCTATCGTGAAAGTTGTGTTATTATTATTGTGGAGAAGCTTATTAGTTTTTTATTGATGACAAATCTGTATTCTAGGTAATCCTCCTCTTCCCAATCCTTTTGGTGATCCTAATTTATCACAACCTATAATGCCAATTCAGCAGAATGTGGCAGACATTTTATTTGTGAGAACAAGTTATGTGAAGAAAATCATTGAAGACTGCAGTAATTCAGAGGAAACTGTCAAATTGCTTCGTTTTTGCTGCTGGGAAAATCCTCAGTTCTCATCTACTGTCCTCAGTGAACTTCTCTGGCAGGTAAAAGGAAGATAACATTTGTATGTTTATTATTTGGTTTGTTACTCCTTTCATTAAATTATTCACTATGTCTTACTTGTTTTTAGGTTGCATATTCCTATACCTATGAACTGCGGCCCTATTTGGATCTGCTTTTGCAAATCTTACTGATTGAGGACTCCTGGCAAACTCACAGGTGGATGGATACTCTTTTTGTTACTGGAAACAGTTAGGCTTGCCCAGGTGTTAGACATAACTGAAATTGACAGTCACCACTTTTTTTTTTTTTAGCCTATTGGAGTTCTAGTGAGTGTTTTATCTTAAACTAAAACCTAGGACAAGGGTAAATAACAAGTTCTCCCCGTTTCCTCAGAATTTTATTTCCTTTTTTATTCTTTTCTCTCATTGCCTAAGTTTCATACTTAATAAGCCTTTTTCTTTAGAATGATTTTTTTTTTTTTTTTTTTAATTAAGAGCTAGCTTGGGCTTTTGGTAAATATTTGAATTTCATTAATGATGCCCTAGGATTATTTTATTACTAAATTACATTTATTTTAGATCTAGTCATTTGAAGTAACTTAAAGTAGTCATTAGTCACAAGAAGTATAATAGTATATTTAAAAGTAATTCCTAACCAAGTACAGTTTCCATTTTTCGTGGTATTTATATTCTGTAAAGTCACCAGACACTGAGTTAGCAAATACTGAAACATTACTCCTAGGAGAAAATAGAGAATTAGATTTCTATAAGCTTCTGTTTACATTTTTATCAACCAGTTCAATACATAACCTTGTTTTATGTGTGTTTCTACTTAAAGTCATTTAATATATATTGTTGACTCATTAAGTTTGCAGCCAACAGCTCTATAACTTAAGGCTGAACTCAAGCTTTTTTAACACATTCTTCATAAGACGCATCGCAGCCTTCTTGCTCTTAGGAACATTACACAGAACTTCAACATTATATACTTAGGGGTCATTTTAAACATAAAAATAACCAACAAAAGCACAAATATGTGGAAAATGTGGCCAAAGGACACTGGTTTACAGTTTAAGCTGAAACATATAATATCACTTTTGGACTTCACCTAGAACGATTATGTTGGACAACTTGATATTTTTACTGCTCTGCATATGTCCACATATGACCTAGAAAGCACCTTGAGGATTGATTTTTGCAGTTATAAAGTTTAGGAAGTAGGCAAATTCACAAATAACAGAATTTATGAATAGAGGATCAATTATAATTAGTTTTTATGAGAAGTTTTAGAATTTTAACTTTTTTCCCTTTAAGAACTAAGGTTATCCAGCTTAACTGGCCCTCAGACTTTCATGAGAATTTTTCTACTTGTTTTTTTTTTTTTTTTTTTTTTTTTTGGTAGTAAAAGTTGAATATATTATCTTTAATCCCAAGAGTTATATAATTGATGGCAAATTATGGTATTAGTTGACAGCTGTGCCAGGTTTTATAACTTCCCTTCCCACATGGAAGATAGTATTAATAATTTGGGGAAACAATTCAAAGTCTGTATTGCAGTTTGCTTCCCATCTGTCAATGTAATAAACTCAAAAACCTGATCTGTAACAACAAAATGCTTAAAGAGAAGTTACAATCTGGAGTTTTAGTGGGGATTGCGAATACCAGAATTTGTAACTTAGTATTTTTCAAATTATCTTCAAATTTACCATAATAGATTACAAACAAATACTAATGGCATTAAACCAAAAATCAGTTTTCATGAGACACAAAAGATAGTAGCTCAAAATTAAAGCCATTTATTCAAGCAATATTCAGGGGCCTTCTAAATATGTTCATAGGATTTGAAAGCTTTCTTCAGAGTTGATTTTAATGAAATCTAACTTCTACTATTTTCTTTTTTTTAAATGCAGTATTTCTGGGAACAGTGGTTCACCCTGTAATAAGCACTTTGAGAGGCCAAGGCAGGAGAATCGTTCGAGGCTAGGAGTTTGAGGCCAGCTTGACCAGCATAGCAAAATCTTGCCTCTCTCTATTTTTTTAAAAAAGAAAATTCTATAAGCACTTATAGTTTTAAACCAGTTAATCACATCTTAGCTCTTGTTTGATTAGAGCAAGTGTTAATGGCTAAGACATATATGCTAGAGTAAATGAGGAAATTACAGTTTTGTGTAATCAGGTAAGATATTGTTATTTGAATCACTGACCCAAACATGAAAATACTCTTCTCATAATGAACTTTTAGTTCATTCAGTGAACAGTGTTCAACTATTTATGGAGTGTCTACCATGTACTCAGCACTGCTTGGCATCAGGTAATAAGGCAAGTGAAGATAGTATTAATGAAAATGGCATTTGAGAACAGTTGATACTAATGGGGAGAAAATATGGTATGGCAGAAATACTGATTTAGCACTTCATTGTCACCTGAGAAAAACAAGGTAAAAGCAATTTATATGTAGTGTTTCAGATTTGGACATGGTTGGTTTGTCTGCAATGATTAAGCTTTGCAAAATTGCTGAAGTAATCTGTTTGGAAATCATGAATGCAGTTGATGGAGGAAAAAATCTTTTTGAATTGAAACATTCTATTAAGTAAAATACCATAGTGTACATTAGAATCTTAAATTCTCAGTGTCCAGGTTACGTTTTCTAATTGAGGTAAAATTTACATAACATAAAATGCATCATTTCAACCATTTTTAAATATACAATTCAGTGACTTTTAGTACATTCACAATGTTATATAGCCGTTACTACTATCTGATTCCAGAACATTTTTATTACCCCAAAAGGAAACTCATACCCAATTAAGCAGTCACTCACCATTCCTTCCAGCCCCAGCAACCACTAATCTGTTGTCTCTATGGATTTGCCTATTGTAGACATTTCATAGAAATGAAATCATGCAATTTGTGTGTCTGACTTCTTTCATTTAGCTTAATGTTTTCAGAGTCCATGTTACATATGTCATTATATCTGGATAATTTATAGATACATATACACCACAGTTTATTTACTGGCACATAATATTTTTAACACAAAAGAAACAAGGCATGTTTGTGCCCCTACAATCTTTTTTTAAGTTAGTTATTTCAGGGAAAGACAGGAACTAGTTGGCTAGGTATTATTACTCTGTTGTAGTTTGAGAAGAGCTGAAATGAAATCCTGTGTTATTGGCAAATCATCCAAATTGTACTATTGCCTGTAAAAATGCTTTGCCTGCCATGTATTCACATTATTAGAATTCAAATACTGTACCTCCACATTATATCACTGAATCCTAACTTGCCTTCAGAGATGCAGTTTTATGAAAGGTATTGATGTATAGCAAATTACTTTCGACTACCGCAGTCATAACTTAGTTACTATTTAAAAATTTACATTACTCTTGAGTGTCCTGAATTCACATCAGGCAGTGTATTTAACTTACATACATGGCAGAATTATTTTGTATTGGTAATAAGTTAGAGCGCAGCTGTATGACCTCAGCAAGCTGTATAACTCTGCCAATTTTCTCATCTGTTAAAAGGTTTAATAATAGTACATACTGTCTAGTGTTAGATTAAATGACTAAATCAAAGACATTATTACGTGGCACATAGTAGGCACTCAGTATATATTAGACTTTAGACGTTATATATTAGATTTTAGACGTTTTTCTTTGATATCTGGTTCTCTTTCAGAATCCATAATGCACTGAAAGGAATTCCAGATGACCGAGATGGGCTGTTTGACACAATCCAGCGCTCTAAGAATCACTATCAAAAAAGAGCATACCAGTGTATAAAATGTATGGTAGCTCTATTTAGTAACTGTCCTGTTGCTTACCAAATCTTGCAGGTGAGGATTTTGTTCTTACAATTTTGTAGAAATCTTAATCAGAGTTAAGGATTCTGTTTTAAAAGAAGAGAATTATGAGAACTTGGGGTTGTCATTTTAAGTTAACTTTGAAGTATTCCATATCCTCTTATATATATGATTTTATTTTCTTTTTCAGGGAAATGGAGATCTTAAAAGAAAGTGGACGTGGGCGGTGGAATGGCTTGGAGATGAACTTGAAAGAAGACCATATACTGGCAATCCTCAGTACACTTACAACAATTGGTCTCCCCCAGTGCAAAGCAATGAGACATCAAATGGTTATTTCTTGGAGAGATCACATAGTGCTAGGATGACACTTGCTAAAGCTTGTGAACTCTGTCCAGAGGAGGTAAAAAAAGCCACCAGTGTGCAGCAGATAGAAATGGAAGAGAGCAAAGTAATTCTTTATTTTATAGGCCAGTGTTTATGTATTAATGATATTATTAAAAGATTGTGTTGAAGTTTTGGGTTTTGAAAAATGTTTATTCGGCTGGGCGTGGTGGCTCATGCTTGTAATCCCAGCACTTTGGGAGGCCGAGGTGGGTGGATCACCTGAGGTCAGGAGTTCAAGAGCAGCCTGGCCAACCTGGCAAAACCCCGTCTCTACTAAAAAAACAAAAATTAGCCAGGCGTGGTTGCGGGTGCCTGTAATCTCATCTACTGAGGAGTCGGAGGTTGCAGTGAGTGAACGTTGTGCCATTGCACTCCAGCCTGGGTGACGAGCAAAACTCTGTCTCAAAAAAAGATTAGAAAAATGCTTATTCTGTGTTGTCTTAAGCAAATGAGGGAGACTTCTTTTGGAGAAATTTCTGTGAAATTGCCTGAGATGTAGTATTTCTAAGAGAATGCAAATCAGTTTTTTTGTTTGTTTGTTTTCAATTTATTTATTTGCAGTAAAACTTGCCAATGAGTTAGTTTTGTAGATTTTTAAAATTTATTTCAAATAGGAAAGGTTAAAAATAAACTTGAGTTTGCCTACATAATTCTGTATCTTTAAATATTCAAAATTAGGAGCCAGATGACCAAGATGCCCCAGATGAACATGAGTCGCCTCCACCTGAAGATGCCCCATTGTACCCCCATTCACCTGGATCTCAGTATCAACAGGTAAACAGGAGTCAGTTGTGGCTTTATCCCCTAGAACTAGGTTTTATGCTTAGAGGATGGCTCAATTTTTTGTTGTGACTACAAAGTAACAGGATTATCTAGACTAGCTTTGGGAGCATGATTAGAAGAAGAATGGTTTGGAGTGGGGGTCATGGTGCAACATGTTTGAACTTAACCCTGTAGGGTTTTCCTTGTCAAGAAGGTGTCCCTCTTGTGCTAGTAGTTAATATAAAACTGTGTGAGAAATTATGTCAACATAAAATGATCATTGTTTAGTGCAGAGGATTATGGTGACATTTACTATGAGGCGAAATCTTCACCTGGATTTTAAAGATACTAAGGTATGGCAATGAAGTAAGAAGTCCTTGGTTACTTAGCCACAGGTTTCAGTGATGGTAAAAATAACTGGGGAAAAAAAGGATTTGGGTTTCATAGGTGATTAACTGTAAAGTAAATAGCAAATTAAATTAGATAAAGAAACATTCGAAATGAGAACTTTTTCTTTCTGAAACCAAAATGCAACTAAATCAGCACTTGTGAGGCAGTGGTACTCAAACTTGAACAGGCATGAGTCTCCCTTTGGGGCTTGCTCCAGTAGAGTAGCAGAGGGCTGGACGCTACCCCAGAGTGTCTAATTTCATAGGTCTGCAAGGGGGCTGGATAATGTGCATTTCTAACAAGTTCCCAAGTGATGCTGCTGGTGGTCCAGGAACCATACTTTGAGAAACATAATTTCAGGCATTCTTTATTACATTTCAGTGTGTACATACAAGCAGACTGAAGAGTTAGGAAGTACACATTCAGCATATTTATTTTCATCTATAGAAAGTAAAGCCTGGCGGGGCATAGTGGCTCATGCCTGTAATCCTAGCACTTTGGAAGGCCAAGGCAGGTGGATCACAAGGTCAGGAGTTCGAGACCAGCCTGGCCAACATGGTAAAACCCTGTCTCTAGTAAAAATAAATTAGTCGGGCTTGGTGGCACATGCTTGTAGTCACAGCTACTCAGGAGGCTGAGGCAGAGAATTGCTTGAACCTGGAAGACAGAGGTTGCAGTGAGCCAAGACTTTGCCACTGCACTCCAGCCTGGGTGACAGAGTGAGATTCTGTCTACAAAAAAAAAAAAAAGCCGGGCGTGGTGGCGCATGCCTGTAATCCCAGCTACTTGGGAGGTTGAAGCAAGAGAATTGCTTCAACCCGGGAGGCAGAGGTTGCACTGAGCCAAGATTGCACCACTACACTCTAGCCTGGAGACAGAGTGAGGTTCCCTCTCAAAAAAAAAAAGCCTGAAATCTTGGCTTGGCTGATATAGTATGTACAGAGAAATGAGAGCACTGTAGGGTTCATACGTTTAAAAAGGTTAGGGAACCAAATCTACAAGGAAGGTTAACTTAGTTTGGCCCTGAGAAAACTCTATGTTAATCATGCCTGGTTACTTTATTATCTTGAACATTGTTCTGTTTTTAATCAGCATTATTGTGAGTTCAGGGTTACTGCTTCTGCAGATCTCATATCATGGTTAATCAGTCTGATTTAGCATGTGGAAGACCCAACAGATGCTCACAGATCATTCTCTGACAATTTTTTACCAAGAGCAACAGTGGGTTAATCCTTTATTTGCCTGACTTGAGTCTAAATTTTTTTGACACTGAAAATCATTTTGGCCAAAGATTTCTGTGGACCTACATAGTCACTGCTCTTATTCAGAGCAGTGGGGTTTGCATTTACACTTTTTCTCTTTCAGGCCTTTGTTTTGTTTTGGCACTATAGTAGTGCAAGGGTATTTACAGAGTAAGTCCCAAGAATAAAAGTTTATATTTCCAGAGACTTTGGACCATGATTTTTGAAGTTTTTTTTTTTTGAGACGGAGTTTCACTGTTGTTACCCAGGCTGGAGTGCAATGGCACGATCTCGGCTCACTGCAACCTCCGCCTCCCGGGTTCAAGCAATTCTCCTGCCTCAGTCTCCCGAGTAGCTGGGACTACAGGTGTGCACCACCATGCCCAGCTAATTTTTGTATTTTTAGTAGAGATGGGGTTTCACCTTGTTAACCAGGATGGTCTTGATCTCTTGACCTTGTGATCCACCCGCCTCAGCCTCCCAAAGTGCTGGGATTATACGCGTGAGCCACCACGCCCGGCGGTTGAAGTTGTTTTACTATGTGAAAAGTTTTAACATGCAGATCTCTTCTCCTTTCCTAGAATAATCATGTGCATGGACAGCCATATACAGGCCCAGCAGCACATCACATGAACAACCCTCAGAGAACTGGCCAACGAGCACAAGAAAATTATGAAGGCAGTGAAGAAGTATCCCCACCTCAAACCAAGGATCAATGAAATGCACATAATTAACTGGTTCCATCAAGACTGCACCCAGGCCTTACAGTCCAACCTTTTTCTGTGTCTGGCTAATATTTAAAACTAGAAAAACTATTCCTAATCAACATGGAGTGGAGAGTTTATTCACTGTCTTATCTGCAGAAATTTGCTGTCAATATATAACCCGCCTGCAGTGGAAAGTGTATAGTGTTTTGTAATAAATGGCCTGATGCTAATGTGTAAATGGCAAAGGTGTATATAGTATATTAATGTTGACTGTTAATTCTTAAGCAAGAAACTTTTTTCTTGTTGAGACTCACAGATCTACAAAAACTACAAAAGTTAATTTTCTTGTTATACCCACTGCACTCTGCAACCAGTGTTGCCTGCCTCATGGCAGTAGAATCAGCTCCTTTACAAAAAAAAAAAAAAAGAAAAAAAAAAAACAGCAACAAAACAGAGCCCATCCATGTCAGCCACACCAATAGTTTCATGTTAATTCTTTGCCACTGGAGTCAGTTTTGCTATGAGCAATGTAAGGCTGGTACCCTTTAAATTATTTGGTTGATGTGGAAAATTGGTGATGTAACACTGTTTCTAGGTTTTTTTCATTGCCTTTTTATTCTGATACTAGGTTAATCACTTTGAAGCTATAGTTATGCTGTAACATTTAGCATGGCTTCACACCAAGTTAGTGTAGCCAATGAGGAAAAAGTTACCATAATGACAGCAGTTGTCTGAGAACTGACAGCTGTATTACTCAGAGCTTTTACTTCTTACACCTAGAATATTAAAATATAAAACAAGGGGAGAAATGTGACAAGCAGGCTGTTTTCAGTTGCACATATGTTCCTTATATATAATGTTTGACAGTTCAATCTCTGGGTGGGATAAAGAACACTTAAGTATCAGTAATGGGAATTTTAAAAGATTTAAAACCAATATGCAAAAATTTGCTATGCCAAGATGCTGGAGCATAATAGAAGACTGTATTTGGTGTGCTTGTTTTATTTCTTTGGTAGACTTTATTAGGTGAATCTTCTAAAACTTTCCTTCTGCTGGATCCCAGTGACGTGGAAGTCATCAGAACCCCACGGTACTTGGAGTACCTCTCTGCACCAAGATAACTGGCTGATTTTCTGCTCAGTCACAATTTTACTTGAAAGCAAGAATTGTCCTAGCTCCTTTTCCATTATTCCAGAAAGTCTAACGTTCAAAGCAGGGTCTAATTAAAAAAGAAACTACTGGTTAGTTAATATAATTGAGATACCACAATTTCAGAATAAACATTTGATTAAAAATAAGGAACTCCTCAGTTAATACTGTATTTAAAAGAATTGGTAACTTGAATGTGTGTAATTTTTTGGAACCTGTCTAAAAACCAAATACCCCTGCAAACAGATACAGCCCACCGTATTCTATTTAAATATTTTGCTGTTTTATTTTATAGAAATTATTTTGCTGAATTCACAAATAGAATTTGATTTAAGAAGAACTTTTTGTCCTGTGGTGTGTTTTGGGGTTTTTTTTTGGTTACTTTTTTGTCCTTTTTTAAAGAGGACTGGATATTAAAATTCATTCTGTGCATAGCCTGCCTAGGCATGACACCGATTCAGGATTTCAGTCACATTCAGATTTTGTGCACAGAAAGATTTGACCTTTGGCCCTTACTGAAGATTTTGAGAAATCAGAATGTTGACACTGTAAAAGTTTCCTAACATAATCTTGTACTTTTTGTATGTTTTTTATATACATGTATATTTAATGAGCACAAGCTTGGTTATATTTTTTACAATTCAGTTAATAGGGACATGTTTTGTCAAGGCTACAGTTGGAACTGAAGAAAGCAGAAACAATAGAGCATTGCATTATTTTGTGATTAAAAGGGGCAGGTATTTAAGATAAAGCTTTGGGTATCTTATTTTGTAGTACTCTATAGTCAACCTGTGCTTCTAGGTGTTCCTGTAATAGGAAATTTTGACACCAGATAGTTTTTTAAGTTTGAAAGTCAACAGTATTTGCAATTCCAATTGATTTTGTTTTGGAGATGGAGTCTCGCTCTCTTGTCCAGGCTGGAGTGCAATGTCACGATCTCAGCTCACTGCAACCTCCGTCTCCCAGGTTCAAGTGATTCTTCTGCCTCAGCCTCCCAAGTAGCTGGGATTACAGGCGCCCACTACCACATCCAGCTGATTTGTTTTTTTTTGTTGTTTTTTTTTTTATAGAGATGGGGTTTCACCGTGTTGACCAGGCTGGTCTTGAACTCCTGACCTCAGGTGATCCACCCGCCTTGCCCTCCCAGAGTGCTGAGATTACAGGCATGAGCCGCCACACCTGGCTCCAATTGATAGTTTTTTAATTTAAAAGTTTGTCGGTTTCAAGCTCCTTCAATGAGTGGAATAACTATTTGGAGGAGTTAACTATTTTTAAGTATACCATCTCACCATCTGAGAGGCGATTTATATATTTACTGCTCCTTAACAAAATATGTAATGTACTTAAAAACTTTAATGACTTCCTCAATGAGAAAAAACTTGACATATAAAAGGCTGTGAATATTTCTACTTGGAAGAAGAGCCCAACTTTGGTTGCTTTGAATTTACAAGCCCCCTTGTGCAGGTTAGGGGCTTGTGAATCGTTTTTGTCTCCTTTTGAGGAAGAGTGGTCTGTGTTGTGACCAGGAGCAAGGGAAAGTGAATGGAGTTATTTTTGTTTGTGCAAATTATTTTCTATATTTAACTCTTAAGCATTAATGTATAACCAGAAATTTAAAGATGCATGTTATTATAAGAGCAACATAATGGTGATTTTGAGGTCTTTCTGAACATAAATGGCACATTTTAAATTTCAAGTCTTCAAAGTGCCTAAGGATTATTTAGTTATCCCTCAACTGATTTTTTGAGCCATATATTTCCTATTTTAAATGTTTGCAGAATCACCAGTCTTCCTTTGAAAGAAGTAGCCCCCAGAATTCTAAATGACATGATTATAGAAGACAGTAAGTAGAATGTGTTAACATAAAGACTGAAGATATTTTAGTTGTAAAACCGTTTGAACAAGGGCTTTTGCCCTAGTGTATCTAAGTATTTCAGTGCACAACTTGGTAAAAAACCATACTGCTGCTGTTTCTAAGCCCTCCACCAACTGAATGTTCATGTTTAGCATTGTAGAGGCAGAAATAGCATATTTGGGGTTTTTTCTTTCATTGATTTTTCTCCTGGTGATAATTTTCCAGCCTTGTGTCTTTTAGCTATTGTGTATACAAATTTAGAATTATGAAAATGTTTTCTATTTTTTTTTTCATGATTAACTTAGTGAATGACAACTTAAATCCTTAATCCTAGTAGTGGTTAAAAAGATGAGGAGGCTTTTTTATTTGACTTACATTTGTAAATGAAAACAATCTGAATATTCAGATGACTACTTCAAAGTAGTTCTTTCAGTTTATTAGTATTTTTTCAGCTTATGTTCTCCCATGAGCTGTTTTACTTTGCTGAATTTTGTGGCTAATTTGGTGGATATATCCTGCCTTATTAAGGATTATTAGGTGGATAAGAAAACTGCCTTTTCATTGTAAGTGCCCAGTTTTGGTCTCTAGTTTGAAGGTACTACATACTGCCGATAAAGGAAAACAACACTCGCCCACACCCCAGTTTTTGTGTTACTAAGAAAAAAAACAGTACTGGTTTCATAGTAGGACTCAACCAGAATTGGTCCTACACATATGTGAGTGTTTAGTTTTTGAAAATAAGGTTTTTGAGTGTGATAAAACACTACAGAAGTGCTAAGTGTATTGAGAATTTGCTGCCAATTGTGTTTATAACAATTATTTTTACGTTTGCAGAAATGTAGCACTTTCCCTCCAAATTTATAGGTGTAAGAGAAGTGGGAGCAAGGTGCACCACATTTTAAAGCTGCAAATGTGTGAAAATTTATTTTGAGATCCAGATTCCCAAAAGGAAATTTCACCACCCAAGTCATGCACTTCTTAGCCTTTTACAAGCCAACAGACTGACATGAAGATTGTTCACGGTTCCTAAGATTTAGCACATATACAAAAATAAAACTTTATAAATTAAATTTCGGTTTTTCCCTTTATTTATTAATACAAGATTTCTAAACAGAAGGTAGAGGCGTAGTAGAGCTGAAGGGAGTTTTTTAAAGGGAAATGTTTATGAGGAATTTAGCTGTCATTGTGTATATCCAAAGTGGATTCACACCTAAGAAGCTCAAAGAAAGGAGTTGTGATCTAATTGCAGACTTTATAGTTAAAACTTAACGATTCAACAAACTGGTGTTTCACAGTTCTCTTAAATTGGAAATAACGCAGACCACGTGTTTTGAGGGGAGCCACAGAAGTGAAAATTCAGTTAACTCTAGCATGTTCCATCTGCTGTTTTTTAGTGTCTAGAAATAGCTCTTTGTTGTCCCAGGGAAATAAGATTTCCACAGAAACCTGGCAGTGCTTTCCTAAAGTTGGGTGACTTAAAGAACTGCTAAAAGACATACCAGAATTTCATTGGATTTAATTTCACTGATTTTTTTTTTAAATGGAAAACTAACTTTTCTGCAATTTGGAAAACTACTTCCAGTTGGATTAGACTGTATTTCAACTATTTTTAGCTACATGAGTACATCTAACTGAAAATCTACATAGCTGCCAGTATTTTGAATTGCTTCATTCTAATCTGATAACTTACAGATAGGCAAAAAGTTGACATCTTTATTTTTATCTGTATACTTGAAAGTTTAGATATCTTACTAAAGTTGGGGTTACATAAAACATTTCAGTAACTTTAGGGATGCAAAATCTTGAAAAATGTCTTAAACTACAAAAAAAATTTCCTAAATAGAACAAATTTCAGAGCCATTTAAATAAAGGTTGATTATTTTAAGGTCATTCTATTTAGGTAGTCAAAACTCAAGAGTAAGATAGGAATCATTTTAGCCATCATCTGAGTAAACAAGTCTTGTTCGGATCCATTAACACAAGACAGAATATACTGCATCTGAACAAATGCAAGATGCTGTTGGTTACAGGGCGCCTCAGCAAGCAAAATCACTGGCTTTCACGGATATTAAAATGTGGGGTATACCATCTGGTAGTAAGCCTTGTCATGACAAATGTCATTTTGCATCTGGAAGTAGATTTTTGTCGTGGGCTTTTCTCACATATGCTTTTTTTTTTTCCATTAGTGGAACTTAGGAATCCTATTTGTGTAATTGTTAACAAAGCTGGCCAATTTACAAGTTTATGAAGAAACAGCTTGATGGAACTGAACCTTTGAGGAGTCACCAAATTATGAAGTGCCCTGTGTAAGCGGTCTTCTTGAGGTAGTTTTGTGTCGTAGCTTCTAGTTTTCATATACATTATAGTTAAGACACCAAGTGGACTTTCTTGCTCTGCCAGAATGGTTCAGCTGCCCTGGACTTTCCTCTGCCTGTCACAATACTCCCTATGTTAGAAAATGAGTATAGAGGCCGAGTGCAGTGGCTCACACCTGCAATCCCACCACTTGAAAAGGCTGAGGCGGGCGGATCACCTGAGGTCAGGAGTTCGAGACCAGCCTGGCCAACATGGTGAAACCCTGTCTACTAAAATTACAAAAATTAACCAGATGTGATGGCGCGCACCTGTAATCGCAGCTACTCGGGAGGCTGAGGCACGAAAACCCGAGAGGCAGAGGTTGCAGTGAGCCAAGCTGGTGCCACTGCACTCCAGCCTGGGTGACCGAGTGAAACTGTCTCAAAAAAGTATAGAAACTGGCCTATGTAGCCTTCCCATTGCTAGCCAAACTCCCCAGAGGTAACCAAGTGGGGGGCACCTTGCAAAATAGTGAGAATTGTGTTCTTTTTTTTTTTTTTTAAGATGGAGTTTTACTCTTCTTGCTCAGGCTGGAGTGCAATGGTGCTTAACCGCACCTCTGCCTGCCACTTCAAGCAATTCTCCTGACTCAGCCTCCTGAGTAGCTGGGATTACAGGCATGTGCCACCACGCCTAGCTAATTTTGTATTTTTAGTAGGGACGGGATTTCTCCATGTTGGTCAGGTTGGTCTCGAACTCCTGACCTCAGGTGATCCACCCACCTTGGCCTCCCAAAGTGTTGGGATTACAGGCGTTAGCCACTGCGCCCAGCCTGTGCTAATTTTCTATTTATATTCAACCTTATAGATGTGTTTAAAAACCAAGATGGATACTCGGGATATTGGAAAGGTTTTTCCATGGAGTCCTAAAAGCAATTCAGTTGCATGAGGAATAGAAATGTATTCTTAACAGTGTTGCTGCTGTGTTTCTTAAATCATTTGCCATTAATTCTCTCATGTTCTCATCTAATTCTTCCCCCACCCATTAAAACATTGGGTACACCACGTATGGAGTTCAGAAGTAAGGATAATTTGGACTGAGTCTTAATTCCCATGCTACTGGGACCAACAAGAAGGAAGGATTTGCTTCTTGGAGGTTCAGAATTGCATTCCCTTCTGACCCACCAACTACTGCCTACACAATGCCTGTTAGCAAGAGGAAGCATTTGCAGAATATCAAGGAAATGAGTCAACATTTAGGGCACATGGTGTATTCAGTGAAAACCCTTCAGAATCCATTTTCCTCGGGTGTCTACATGTTTAGGATGTGGCCCTTATTTCTTGATGTAAATGAATGTGTTCTGGGTGATTAAGGAAACAACTTTTTCAGGCTGTGTTTAAAAGTCTAGATGGGACTGCTTAAATTGGTGAGTTAGTACCTTAGCTTACTGAAAATATTAATCAGTAGTACTAGTAATTAGTTCTTCCAGCCATCTACTTTCGGAATGTTTTCTTAAGCATTTATTATGACTTTTTTTCTAGCAAAATGGGCCTTATGCAGATTCCCAAAATATCTTCTTTAGGAAGTCTGACTTAATCAAAGAATAAATATACTAAAGAGACTTGAAAGCTAAAGCTATTAGGTTGGTTTTAAATAACCAAGCTTTTAGATTGTAGTTAGCCTTTTCTATTGCTCCAAGATTGGAATTTGTTTGTTTGTTTGTTTTTTTATTGAGACAGAGTCTCGCTCTGTGGCCCAGGCTGGAGTGCAGTGGTGTGATCTCAGTTTACTGCAACCTCCGAATTCTGGGTTCAAGCTATTCTCCTGCCTCAGCCTCCTGAGTAACTGGGATTGCAGGCGCCCGCCACCATGCCTGACTAATTTTTGTATTTTTGGTAGAGATGGGGTTTCACCATGTTGGCCAGGCTGATCTTGGACTCCTGACCTCGGGTGATCTGCCCACCTCCTCCTCCCAAAGTGCTGCGATTACAGGTGTGAGCCCCCATGCCCAGTCCAAGATGGGAATTTTTGTCTAACAGAAAAGCAAAAACCAAAAATTCAGACTTGCACTAAAATGGTAGCAGGTTTGCCTTACTAATGGCCACTGAAGCTTGGTTTACTAACTCAGTAACGTTAAGTGCTAGATAAACTGGATGTTAGGTTACTGTTTAGTACATATCAGCACAGCGTTAGACACTTGAAACTATGGCTCTTACGCTGATATTAGTAAATACTCTATTCTTACAGGGAAAATCATTCACTCTTCAAGAGTTCAGGCTGGAAAAAATGTAAAATAGAAATGGCTACAGGATACTCCTCTGGTTCTGTGTTTTGCTCTAGAAATGAATGGGTGATAAACCAAGAGTGACACCTATGTTATCAGGTGCTTTTGAGGAGTGACAGTTTATCAATATGCAATCCACATTGAGGCTTTTCACTGCTGTTCCACTATGCCAAAGTGCAATGGGCAATACTCATCACAAAAGCAGCTTGAAGCTGTAAACGCAAAAGAGGAATTACTTTTAGAGAAGCTGGTTTAACTGTACAAATTTAAAGTCAAGAATTAACCAAAGATTCAAGGCTAAGAACTGAAAGAAGGCATATATAATGTCATACCTGAATCTCCTACTAAATACTGAAGTTTGGCATTAGGTCAGTTTGAAAATAGTTGTTAAAACTTAGCCTTCAGGCTGGGCACGGTGGCTGACACCTGTAATCCCAACACTTTGGGAGGCCGAGGCAGTGAGTCACTTAAGGTCAGGAGTTGTTGACTAGCCTGGCCAACATGATGAAACCCCGTCTCTACTAAAAATACAAAAATTAGCTGGGCGTGGTGGCAGGTGCTTGTAATCTCAGCTACTCAGGAGGCTGAGGCAGGAAACTCAGTGTCAAAACAAACAACAAAACAGAATGAAAAACTTGGCTTTCTAAATTTGACTAGTGAATGGGGGAAAAAGTATTTTTTTTTAAATTCTGAGTTTGTTTACAGATGTACAAAAGCTAAAACATAGTGTTGCATTTTGTGTCTAGATTAAAAGAAAATACAGTTGCCTAAAATAATATCCTATATTTTAAATTGTGCTGTACATCAACTGCAGTAATCCCCCCTACCGCCCACAGTAGTTCTTTGCAATGCATTTAGCGTGAACTCCTGTTGAGGAGCAGCTTTTGTTACAAATTCCATGTGGGATTACTACTTTGAAAACTGAAATAAGCGATTTCACTTTTTCGTAGCTCTGATTTGAACCTCATTTGAAAATAAGTGTATTGCAGATTTACGCTAACACATTTCCAGTAGGTGAGATCAAGTGTTGTAGCCACTACTTTGAGAAGAAAATGTGCTAATGTGCTGTACAAAACACATGGGTCCAGGAAGAAAATAAAATAGCAGCTCATATTTTCAAGTGACAGCAGACTGTACCCCGACTCAGCACCAATCCATCCAAATCCTTTAGTAGCTTTAAAATGTGGATGTCACAGGTCCCAATGGTGACTTCAGTACAGCACCAAACAAGAAGTGGGCGTGTGAGGTCTGTGTTCTGGCCCAGGGGGGCAATGCCTAGCTCTAAGAAAGCAGTCTGTACAGTTCTTCTCAAATTTGGTCTCAACTCCAAATGTTATCCCCCATTAAAAAAATAAAAAGCTTGTTTATTCCTATGAAACCCTACCGTGGTGACTTTGATTAAAAATGCATCTCCTTAGGAAAATAACTTGGAATTAAATGTAAAAAAAGAAAAAATGCATCTCCTTTATAGCTTTCCCAAATGGGCTGAATTTAGACTGTCCTACTGGTAGCCATTTGTCGTCTCCAAAGCAGGAATTTTTCTCATCTGCATTTCAAAAACTCTTGTCTTTGTTACAGTCAGTTTTCTTTTCATCAGAAGTTAATTTCAGGCCCACTGCGGTAGCTCTGTAATCCCAGCACTTTGGGAGGTTGAGGTGGGCAGATAACCTGAGGTCGGGAGTTCAAGACCAGCCTGGCCATCATGGTGAAACCCTGTCTCTACTAAAAATACAAAAATTAGTGGGGCATTGGGGTGCGCGCCTGTAATCCCAGCTACTCAAGAGGCTGAGGCAAGAAAATCAGTTGAACCTGGGAGGCAGAGGTTGCAGTAAGCCAAGATCCCGCCACTGCACTCCAGCCTGGGCAACAGAACGGGATTCCATCTCAAAAAAAAAAAGTTAATTTTGCTGTCACAACCACTGAGTAATAATAATGCTGCAAACATGTTATGGGACTGAAGAAACTAAAGACAGGAGGTGAGGGTGGCCATCAGAACTGAGGCACAGCTCCTACATGTGTGAAGTGCACTTTGCCTTAAATTGTGTTCTCTCCCAGTTGCTCCCTTGATTTAACATGGGAGATTGAGTTCACCTTGACCTCTGGAAAGCTCATCACTCCAGGTGCACAGTCATTAATCATGTCTAAAGTATTTGTGTTTGGTTTAGAGAAATCCTAGTGTCAGGCATATCCTTGCTGGGGTTTTCTGGATATACTCAGTGTCTTTTTTTATAAGAAAAGTCAGCTTTCTTTACAGTTGATGCAACTCTCATGTTAAAAAGGGGGGGGCGGGGGGCAGATGCTGTGGCTCATGCCTGTAATCCCAGCACTTTGGGAGGCCAAGGTGGGTAGATCACCTGAGGTCAGGAGTTTGAGACCAGCCTGGCCAACATAATGAAACCCCATGTCTACTAAAAATATATAAATTAGCTGGGTGTAGTGGTGGGTGCCCGTAGTCCCAGCTACTTTGGAGGCTGAGGCAGGAGAATCACTTGAACCTGGGAAGTGGAGATTGCAGTGAGCCAAGATTGCACCACTGCACTACAGCCTGGGTGACACAACGAGAGTGTCTCGGGGAAAAAAAAGTCAACTAATAAAATCTGTTAGCTTAGAATTTTTTTTTGAGACGGAGTCTGTCTCTGTTGCCCAGGCTGGAGTGCAGTAGAACAGTCTCGGCTCACTGCAACCTCCTCTTCCCAAGTTCAAGTGATTCTCCTGCTTCAGCCTCCCAAGTAGCTGGGATTACAGGTACCTGCCACCATGCCTGGCTAATTTTATCTATTTTCAGTAGAGATGAGGTTTCATCATGTTGGCCAGGATGGTCTCAAACTCCTGACCTCAGGTGATCCGCCTGTGTTGGCGTCCCAACATCATATCTGCCCACTCTGCTGATGCCCCCATGTTCGTGAACTATGACAACAGCCTCAAGATCGTCAGCAATGCCTCCTGCACCACCAACTGCTTAGCGCCCTGGCCAAGGTCATCCATGACAACTTTGGTATCATGGAAGGACTCATGACTACCGTCCACGCCATCACTGCCACCCAGAAGACCATGGCCCCTCCGGGAAACTGTGGCATGATGGCTATGGGGCTCTCCAGAACACCATCCCTGCCTCTACTGGCACTGCCAAGGCCACGGGCAAGGTCATCCCTGAGCTGAACAGGAAGCTCACTGGCATGGCCTTCCATGTCCCCACTGCCAACATGTCAGTGGTGGACCTGACCTGCCATCTGGAAAAACCTGCCAAATATGATGACATCAAGAAGGTGGTGAAGCAGGCGTCGGAGGGCCCCCTCCAGGGCATCCTGGGCTACACTGAGCACCAGGTGGTGTCCTCTGACTTCAACAGTGACACCCATTCTTCCACCTTCGATGCTGGGGCTGGCATTTCCCTCAACCACCACTTTGTCGAGCTCATTTCCTGGTATGACAATGAATTTGGCTACAGCAACAGGGTGGTGGACCTCATGTCCCACATGGCCTCCAAGGAGTAAGACCCCTGGACCACCAGCCTCAGTGAGAGCACGAGAGGAAGAGAGGCCCTCACTGCTGGGGGTCCCTGCCACACTCAGTCCCCCACCACACTGAATTGCCCCTCCTCACAGTTTCCATGCAGACCCCTTGAAGAGGGAGGGGCCTAGGGAGCCCCACCTTGTCGTGTACCATCAATAAAGTCCCCTGTGCTAAAAAAAAAAAAAAAGCCCTGTGTGGAGGTACACGCCTGTGATCCCAGCTACTCAGGAGGCTGAAGCAGGAAAATCACTTGAACCTGGGAGGTGGAAGTTGCAGTGAGCCAAGATCACACCACTGTACTCCAGCCTGGGGGGCAGAGTGAGACTCTATCTCCAAAAATAAAAATTTTTAAAAATGACCTTTTTGCTGCTGTTATAGTTACCATTGATGCTGGGTTAAAAGAATTGGCTGTCCAAAGGGGCAGATACTTGGCTGGGTTTTTTGTTTTGAAGTTACCAGGTTTTTGGCGTCATGTAGGGTGAATGACTTTGGAAGGCAGTAGTGCCTCACAGGTGGTTCAAAGGCTGGTCCAGCTGGACTGGCTGCTTGAAGAACAACTGGATCCCACTCCTGGAGACTGAGTATAGGTTTGGCATGCCCGGGAATCTCTAGCATTTTTAATGTTCCACATATAACTACAGTCGGGTTTGAAACCATTTCTGTAGTGCACTGTCGTTCTTAAAAAAGGTTTTTGCAAAACTTAAAAAATACAGAGAAGTGGCTGAGCGTGGTGGCTTACGCCTGTAATCCCAGCACTTTGGGAGGCCAAGGCAGGTGGATCAACTGAGGTCAGGAGTTCGAGACCAGCCTGGCCAACATGGCAAAACCCTGTCTCTACTAAAAACACAAAACTTAGCCGGCCATGGTGGCGGGCGCCTGTAATCCCAGCTACCTGAGAGGCTGGGCAGGTGAATGGCTTGAACCCGGGAGGTAGAGGTTGCAGTGAGCCGAGATCACACAACTGCACTCCAGCCTCGGCAACAAGTGAGACTCCATCTCAAAACAAAACAAAACAGAACTAGGCAGACAAATATAACACCCATGTGCCTATGACCTGGAACTGGCATATTTGCTTTAAGTATTCTCTTCATTAAAATAAATCAGATATTACAATAAATTCCAATTTTCCCCATCCTCCATTCCATTCCCTTCCCCTACACCAGAGGCAAGCACTGTCGTGATTCAATTGAGATGCAGTTTTTAATGGTGCCCAACTTTGTTAACAGATGACCCATTTAGGATGCCACATCAACCCTAAGATAGGGACTTCACAGGGAAAACTGGAAATGGTGTTTCTCCAGCAAAGGACCAAGAGGATCTTAGAGAATTCCAAAACAAAGGCCAGGCGCGGCGGCTCACGCCTGTAATCCCAGCACTTTGGGAGGCCGAGGCGGGCGGATCACGAGGTCAAGAGATCGAGACCATCTTGGCCACCATGGTGAAACCCAGTCTCTACTGAAAATACAAAAACTAGCTAGGTGTGGTGGCACACGCCTGTAGTCCCTGCTACTCGGGAGGCTGAGGCAGGAGAATTGCTGGAACCTGGGAGGCAGAGGTAGCTGTGAGCTGAGACGCCAGTCTGGCGACAAAGTGAGACTTGTCTCAAAAAAACAACACCAGAGAATTCCAACACAAAGAAAATAATTTGGTGAATTCAAGAATGCTGCTAACATCGTGTGAGCAAAATGACTGTAACAGAGTATATCCTAGACAAAGGTGTCAGAGTTCAAAAGGAACTGACAATGTTTCTTCAGAATTGGTCATGAGGCCCTGAGTTGGAAATGGGGTCTCGGTGCATGAGGGATGTGACACAGCTGCCTGCCCCAACTTTGTGGAAATAAGATTTCTAGTCGTCATGGGTTTTTCTCACCTACAGCTTGAGTACTATGAGCAAGAAAAGGATGGCTTTTGTGTCTGTCAAGTTTTCATTATAGAAAAGAAAAGTACCAAGTCCCAACTTTGTGTAGAGCCTTGCCTTGCAGGGGGCTGTGATTCTGCCTAAGACATTCCTCCAGCTTTAAGCTTGGCGTCTCAGCAGGCCAACTTTACAATCTATGACAAATGAAATAGCACTTTAAGCCATCTGTTCAAGTTGGTGCATTTTGCCTCTGATGTTTATAAACCTGCTTCAATAGAAAGCAAAAACAAAGCCCAGAGTTTAGCAAAAAGCATGGTTGGGTGAGCAGCCAAAAGCAATTTCCATCTCAGAAAGAAACACAATTTTATTTTTATCCAAGATGTTTTGGTAATGTGCGGTTTGCTTCAGAACAAAAATGTGGCGTGTCCTGGTATCTTGAAGTGTCTCTCCTTTTTGAAGAAAAGCAAAGAAATGGGAGGAACGTGGGGAGGACCACAACTTTGTGGTTGTGTGTTTATGTATAAGATGGGCTTTGTTGCTGAAATTAGCAATAAGAATCTTCTGGAACATTTGCCTATCTAGTTCACCAAATGATTTTTCATAATGCGTGGGGGTGATTTTCAGGGATGACCAATGGCGGTTAGCTTTACTTTTCGTTTGCTTTGAGGAATTTCAATGTGGATTTTTTTCTATTGATTTGCTAAATGATATAACAAGATAATGTTCTTTTGTCTATGGAATATGACTACAAAAAGATTGGAGTATTTAGTTCTCAGCAAGCAGTAGGATAGCCCTAATCCCCACAACCCTATGAGGTATGTGAAATATCCTTATCTTACAGAAGAAATTTCAGCTCAATGGGCTTGAATATAATATCTTATCTGGGGTGGCTCAGCATGATGAAAGATAAACAGGAAATTATTTTCTTATTTATTTATTTATTTGTTTTTTTGAGACAGAGTCTTGCTCTGTCACCCAGCCTGGAGTGCAGTGGTGTGATCTCAGCTCACCGCAACCTCCACCTCCCAGGTTCAAGAGAGTCTTCTGCCTCAGCCTCTCTGTAGCTGGGATTACAGGCATGTGCCACCACACCCAGCTAATTTTTTGTATTTTTAATAGAGATGGGATTTCTCCATGTTGGTCAGGCCAGTCTTAAACTCCCGACCTCAGGTGATCCACCCACCTCGGCCTCCCAAAGTGCTGGGATTACAGGAATGAGCCACCACGCCCAGCCTATTTTTTATTTTTTGAGATGGAGTCTTGCTCTGTTGCCCAGGCCAGAGTGCAGTGGTGCAGTCTTGGCTCACTGCAACCTCTACCTCCTGGGTTCAAGTGATTCTCCTGATTCTCCTGCCTCAACCTCCTAAGTAGCTGGGATTACAGGCAAGTGCTACCACACTGGGCTAATTTTTGTGCTTTGAGTAGAGGCGGGGTTTCACCATGTTGGCCAGGCTGGTCTCCAGCTCCTGACCTCAGGTGATCCACCCACCTTGGCCTCCGAAAGTGCTGGGATTATACATGTGAGCCACCATGTCCGGCCAATTTTCGTAATTTTTTTAAAAAGCCTCCAAAATGAGTGATTTCCAGCAGTCTTGCTCTGGGCTTCCTTATGGACTTCTGAGGAAGCTCTTGCTACCTGGAGACAGCAGCTGTTTTGAGACTGGCCTTTGTAGCCAAACCTTAGAAACCATCTGAGTTCTGACTGAAATGTACATCTTGCAATGTACTAACGAACTAGCATAATTCTTAATAACTTGGTTTCCTGTATTGGATCAAAATAAGTCTACGTGGTTGATCAGAGGAAGAATAATGAAACATACTTTTAATAAATGGTTTCGTGCCATTCTATTTATCTATACCTTCAGCCTGTCAACTAATGTTAGGCTGAAAAATTAGAAAGCTGCCTTTATATAACTAATTCTCAATATTAACATCTTAGTAACTGGAAAGCAGCACTGCTTTCTCATTAGCATAAATCTACTTGATTGCACAGACATTCTACCCTGGAAGAAAATACATTTCCTCCCCCCACCCCCATGGGATTCAAAGCTATTTTCATTTGGAATGAAAATAAATGCAGCCCGTAAGCATCATTTTTTTGCCCTAAATTGGCTCTTGTGGGGGAAAATTAAGTTTGCTCACCACTAATATAGAAATTTCTAAAAGGTAGAGGAGGTTCTGACTTGAGCAGCATGGTTTCTAATTAGTCAAAGACCCCATAGATGCCTATGAAAAAAATTGGGAAGAATAATTGAAGAAGGAAACAAAATAACCGGATGGGATACTCCCAGGGGTCCCCGGAGGAGGCACCCCGAAAGGGGTTTCTAAACACGGGGTTGCTCCCCAGACCTCATAATCCTTGAGGATTTTGTCTGGTCAAAATGATGCAGAATGAGCGATTGGTACAACAGAGTAAGATTTTCATAAGGCTGGATTTGTTTCATTTAAACAACTATCCTATGAGATTTTGTACCTCTGGATTTTTTTTTTTTTTTTTTTTTTTTTAAGAGACGGGGTTTCCCCATGTTGGCCAGGACGGTCGGGATCTCCTGACCTCATGATCTGCCCACCTCCACCTCCCAAAGTGCTGGGATTACAGGCATGAGCCACGGCGCCTGGCCACCTTTGGATCTCTTGAAATTCAAGTGTCTTTCCTTATATGAAATGATGGTGATAGTTGTGGTTGTTTGATTGTTTTTCAATTTCCTAACTTGGTACAACAAAAAGTTGGCAAAACAGATTGGTCCCTTTTTTTTGTTTTTTGTTTTTGTTTGTTTTTCTTTTTCAGACAGAGTCTCGCTCTGTTGCCAGGCTGCAGTGCAGTGGCATGATCTCGGCTCACTGCAACCTTTGCCTCCCGGGTTCAAGCCATTCTCCTGCCTCAGCCTCCCAAGGAGTAGCAGGGACTACAGGCGCCCGCCACCACACCTGGCTAATTTTTTGTATTTTTAGTAGAGACAGGGTTTCGCCATGTGGGTCAGGCTGGTCTCCAACTCCTGACCTCAGGTGATCCACCCGCCTCAGCCTCCCAAAGTGCTGGGATTACAGGCGTGAGCCCTGAGCCCAGCCAGGTCTCTTTTTCTTTCTTTCTTTTTTTTTTTTTTTTAAAGTGTATCAGTTTTAAAAATTGAGATATCTGAGAGCAGCTCATCTATGACATCTCAGTAAATGCTGGATTTCAAATGATGCAAGCTGGAAGGGGGCCTCTAGTGTTCACTGACACGGCAAATGTAGGGTCAGCAAACGCAGGGTGGAGCAGAGGACAGACGTGGGTTTATTTTCTGTAGCTAAAGGACTTGACAAGTCGAAGGATTCCTGTCTGTAAAAACCCAAGGAGTAAATATACCAACTCATGTACCTTACGCTGATACGAGCTGTTCACTGATCCCAGTGCCCAGGGAGGGTTCCCTGCATGTGGATTTGGGGAGAGATTCTCTTCTCCCCAGGGCCCATTGACTGCCTTTTCCAGAACTGGCCATCACAATTTGTCCATCTCTCTTGACAAAGAAGGACCACCTTGGTCTGCTCGTCCAGGCAGGGCCTCCACAGACACACCCTACCCCCATATGGTCTACCCTCCTCTTGCTTCCTGCCCGGACCTGGGTAGACTGGTCATAATGGGAGGAAATGTGGCCCCTCATCACCCCACCTACCCACTGTCCTGGGCTGCAGCCTCCATGTCCCACACTATCCCACCCTCCACTCAGTTGTAATGCAAGAGAGTAAGTGAGGATGAAA